GAGTCTCCCCCCCTCCTTTTGGGAAGGAAGGAAGCTGCAATGCATGCTGGGAGGCAGCATCAATTAAGGTGGCCTGAGAGCTCAATTCACCCAAATCCAAACAAAATCAGAAATGCAGAAGGCTAAATAGAATCCCACCTGCGCGTCGCATCTTGAGAAGACCTAAACTGCTGTTTCTTACCTTCAGCTATTTTAAGATACGTGGACTTCAACTCCCAGAATTCCCCCAACATGCTGGCTGGGAAACTCTGGGAGTTGACATCCAGGTGTCTTAAAGTGGCTAATCGCTATCAGTTCAACCCTTTGATCTACAGACAGTCCTCAGCTTAATGACCACAATGGATCCTCAAAGGTCTGTTGCTAAGGGAGACCATTGTTCAGTGGGTTTCGCCTCATTTTACAACCTTTCTTGCCACAGTAGTTAAGTGAATCACTGCAGTTGTTAAGTTAGCAACACGGCTGTTAAGTGAATCTGGCTTCCTCCCCTTTGACTTTGTTTGCCAGAGCGTCACAAAAGGGGACCACGTGACCCCGCGACCGTCATAAATACGAGTCAGTCATCAAGCGTCCAAATTTTGGTCATGTGACCAGGGGGGGCGACGCAGCAATGGTCATAAATCTGAAAAATGGTCATGTCACTTTTTGTGCTGTTGCAACTTCGAACGGTCACTAAATGTGACCGTAAGTCAACATAAGTCAAGGACTCCCTGTCTTTTATTATTGCTATGTTTACACTTTTCATTTCTCCTTTTTTATTCTTGTAAGCCCCGAAGTGACAGAACGAGCAAATAAATTTAAGAAATAGTAATAATATTACTTATTATTATTATTTCTTAAATTTATTTGCTCAGGTGCCACCCCAAAAACAACTGGAGCACCACTTGAACCTTGTCGGCATTGACAACTTCAGCACCTGTCAATTGCAAAAGGCAGCTTTGCTCAGACATTTTGCTGCGAGACCTCTAACCCCACAAATGTTCAGCTTCTGACTATGTCAGGCCTTTGGGAAGGACTCAAGAGGTAGATAAAAAGGCCAAATCCAGTGGGAACATCTGGCTGACTGTGCAATATACCAGAAGATAAACGTGGACCCTTCTCTTTGGCAGAAGAAGAGAGACTCTGCAGCTGCTGTTCCTCCCTTCTCTTCCTTCCTTTGCAACCGGCTCTCCTTCTCCAACTTCGGGGTGCACACCTTCCTTCCTTCCTTCCTTCCTTCCTTCCTTCCTTCCTTCCTTCCTTCCTTCCTTCCTTCCTTCCTTCCTTCCTTCCTTTCCTTTCCTTTCCTTTCCTTTCCCTTCCTTCCTTCCTTCCTTCCTTCCTTCCTTCCTTCCTTCCTTCCTTCCTTCCTTCCTTCGTGACAACCCCGTCTTGTTGTTCCTCCTGGTTGTTTTTGCCTGGTCCCACAGTGCTGGTTCCAGCTCGCTTGGGAGCAGGCTGGCTTTTGCGCAACGGGGAGACAGATGTCCTCCGGGCTGTTTCCGCCAGTTCCTTTCATGCAACCTGGTAACCGACTGGCAAGATTATAACCGAACAGGTTTGGGCTGGGATGCACGTTCAGACAAATTTAATTCTCCCGACTTGTTTCTTTGCAACTTCGTGGCTCTTTCTGGGCAGCCCGCGGAGGGTGATTCGTGCGGAAAAATTCTCCTACAGGTTTTTATTCTCCTGCTTTCTGTCTTAGCACGTCACGTGCTTTGAGGAGAGGAGATTTGTTTGCAGGTTTCATTCCAATCAAATAGATTTCAATGCTGGGCAGGGTTTTGCTGTTTTTTTGTTTTGTTTTGTTTTAAAGGGACGGTCTTTGCAATAGAGGTAGTTCTCGACTTATAGTTGAGCCTGAAGTTTCCATGGTTGTTAAAGGAATCTGGTTTTCCCCGTGGACTTTGTCAGATGGTCAAGAAGGGGATCACGTGACCCCCCCAGACAGTGCAACTGTCATAGGTATGAGTCAGTTGCCAAGTGTTCGAATTGTGATCACGTGACCACGGGGGATGCTGCAATGGCCGTAAGTGTGAAAAACGGCCATAACTCACTTTTTTTCAGTGTAGCTTTGAATGGTCACTAAATGAACTGTTGTAAGTTGAGGACTACCTCTATGCTCTTCGCAGCCTGTCTGGTTTACCCAGCCTTCCGAGTCTTCAATCTTGGGAACGTTAAGATGGGTGGACCTCAGCTTCCAGGATTCCCCAGCTAGCATTCCAGACCTCTTAAAGCAGGCTGGCTCGGGAATTCTGGGAGCTGAAGTCCAGATCTCTTAAAGCAGGCTGGCTGGGGAATTCTGGGAGTCAAAATCAAGTCGCTGGCGGGCTTTTCAGATAGGGAAGCATTGGCGAAGTCACAAGCACATCCTTCAGGAGCTCTGCAATCAGGCAGCCTTTATGACCAGTCACAGCATCCCAGTCAAGTGACTGCACTTTTCACAGCAGTTTTCAGCAAAGCCATACCCACAGTAAACCTTTGATTCGCTTAGTGATCAATGATTTGCTTAACAACGGCCACAAAAAGGTTTGTTGTGCGACTGACCTGCTTTACAACCATCACAAGTTACAACTGCAGTGGGCAGGCTCCCTTACAGTCGTAGCTCAAGAGCTACTTGTAATTCTAATGCGTCTTTAGCAAGCCGAGGTCCCTGTGAATTCATTTCTCAGATTGGTGATATCATCCAATGTACTAGCAGGTTATTTGTTTTCCCACAGTGCAGGGAACCCCAAATTGCTCAGTCCCGACCCAGCCGAGTTGAAAGCGTCTTCCCAAATCCAATTAAATGCTTATTAATTATATAGCAGAAAACAAAATCCCCTTTTTGAGTCAAGCTCAACTTTCTAGGGATTTCAAGGACAAGACTAGCCTGTTCCAGCAGTGTCAGCTCAAAACTGGTAGACTTTTTTTTTCTTTCCTCAAAGCCTTTTTTATTTCCCAGTCTCTTTGTATGTCTTGAGATTTCTGGAATGTTGGACTAGATGACCTCTGAAGTTCCGTCAAACTCCCATCAAAACTCTCCTAAATCCTGCTTCATTTTTCAAGATCAGCCAGGCTAAGCTAAGTGCTGCCCCTTGGCTGGATCCTTAAGGAAATATAGAAACCCCCCACCCCACCCCAAACCTTCCTTCTATAGCTGTTTTGCCTTACGCTGCAAAAGAAAAATTACAGTTTGACATAAAACAAGGGCAAATTAGTTCCACGGGGGCTTGCAATTAATTGCTGGGGTTAACAACTCAGCCTCAGTTCTCTCTGCATTATCCATAGGATCCGGTTGTTTTTTTTTTTTGTTTTGTTTTGTTTTTTTAAATAAAGATTCCCAGGTCTGTTTAACAAATGACCTGGAATCATTGATAGTCCAGAGGTATACAATTTAATAAATTATATGGTTGGTTACGCAGTCAGCCAGATGTTGACACATTTTTATCCAGCCATGGAGCCCTTCCCAAGGACCTGGGATAGGCAGATGTGGCTGTTTGATGGTGTTGGAAATATCATTGCAGGGCGAAAGCCGTTCTAAATCAAGCTTCCTTTTGCAACTGACTGATGCAGATTTTGTCAACACTGATGGCGCTCAAGCGGTGATTTGGGGCTGCACCAAGGGTGCTTATCATTACTGATCCTATCTTTGCTTTCTTTTGCCACAGTCATTCTGTTTCTATTTGCAGGCCTTTGTATTTGGTCATGTTCTCCAGTTCTTTCCCTTCTCTTCTACTGCCTCCAGGTACTGACTGCTACATCCATTCTCCAGACTTTCCCCCCCTCTTTTTATCAACAGTTGTGAAGACCCGGGTGTTATATGGCAGATGCTTACCTGTTTGAATCCTAAAGTCCCAAGCCCCTAACCTTCTTCATATGCTATTACTTTGCTTATTTTGTGATCCCATCGGTTGTTATTATTTTGGTTGGTCACACAGCCAGATGTTTATACTGGATTTGGCATTTTAATCCACCTACTGAATCCCTCCCAAGAACTTGGGATAGACAGATGCTGTTTTTGTTATTTTTAGTCCTATTTCAAAAATAGGAAACGGAAGCTAATTTGAAAAGCTTCAAAAAGTGCCTTATGACTCTTAACTTGTATAGAAAACTTTATATACATACATTGGTGCAGTAGTAAGATTGCATATAAAGAAGAAAAAAATGTGGAAAGGAGCACCAGTCCATGGCAAGAAAAAACGGTCTGGTGAAATAAAAACTGAGATTTTGGTGGTCCCACTAGACTAGACTAGAGCATCGGGAAAGAAAAACGCGCTCCAAGGATCTTTTTAAAACGAAGCCCAACTAGTCCGTCAAAAGGCCGTCGCTGCTAACGCAAACGCAAGGCGATTTCCTGCGGGGAAAGAGGCGCAGCCAAGAAGCAGGACATCCTACGGAACACCCGGAGACTGGAATGAACTGGTGGAACACCCCCAAGGCCGGATGATGCGCATCTGGGCCGGCGCGCAATCGTGATTTCCGCACCGGGCATTTGGGGATCCCCAAACACGCGATTGGGGAGGCAAAGACATTCCAAGCGAGGGCTGATTTGGGGCGGCGGCAGCCCCCACGACCCCGCACCTGCAGCAGGGGAGGCGGGGACTCGCGAGATACCGCCCCCTCGCCCGCCACGCCCCCTCCCCGGCCCCGCACGTGGCGAGCCAGCCCGGCGAGGCTCACCTGTGTGTGCCAGGCAGCGCCGGCCGCCTCCGCCCGCGAGAGAGCCGCGCGGCCCCCGAGGAGCGCCCCGGCCCCCGCCCGCCTCCCTCGGCCCCTGCCCGGCCGCCTTGGCCCGCCGCCCGCCTCTCGCCTGGCCTCCCCGGAGCGCCCAGCTCCAGCCCGCCGCGTCAGCCAGATCGGTATTTGAATAGCACAAAGGAACCGCCTCGTCTGGATTGGCGGGCCGGGCCACAGGTGGGCGGGCGGCGGCTGCCAATCCAAGGCCAAGGTGCCCGCCAATAGGTCCCCGGCGACGGGGGCGGGCCCGGGGAGGGGGTATAAATAACGGGGGCTGGGCAAAGCCGCGCTTAGTGCTGGCCCTGCCGAGCGCGGACGGCCGGGCGAGACGGGGAGGGCCGGGCAAGCCAGCATCGGGCATCTGGCATCGGGCGGGGTAGCCGGCTGCTTTCGCTGCCTTTTCCGAACGGGGCATCAATCGCCGGGCAAGGGCGATCCTGCCCGTCTCTGCCCGCCGCCCGGCGCGGCCCCCCTTGGAGCAGCGGGTGGATGCGGGGCCGGGCCGGGGCGCGGGCGGGCGGCCGAAGCTGAGCGGCCGGCGAGGAAGATGGAGTGCGCGCTGGACGCCCAGAGCCTCATCAGCCTCTCGCTGCGCAAGATCCACATGTCGCGCACGCAGCGCGGCGGCCTGAAGCTGCACAAGAACCTGCTGGTCTCCTACGTGCTCCGCAACGCCCGGCAGCTCTACCTGAGCGAGCGCTACGCCGAGCTGTACCGCCGCCAGAGCAGCGCCCTGGCCGGCCAGCCGCCGCCGCACCCGCTCTACCCCGAGGGGGCCGGCATCGCCCTGCCCTCGGCGCCCGCGCCCGCCCTCGGCGCTCCCCCGCCGCTGGGCGAGCTGGCTGGCCCGGACTTCCAGGCGCTGCCCGCTGCCGCCCCCGGAGCGGAGGGCCTCCAGCTGCGGAGCTGCGCCCTGGCCAGGCCGGATCCCCCGTCCGTGCTGCTGCCACCGCCGCCGCCGCCGCCGCCGCCGCCCGCCGACGACGCTTTGGGGCTGCCCGGCGCGGCGGGCGTGTGCCGGGACTCGCCGCTGCCCTTCTACCCGCCGCGGGGCTACCCCGGCCCCAGCTCGGCAGCTGCAGCAGCAGGAGGCGGCGTCGGGACTGACTTCGGCGGCTCGTGCGCGCCCTCGGGGCTTCCGCCGTCGGGGCCCGCGGCGCACTGCTCGAGCCGCACCACCGTGCTGGACCTGGACACGCACGTGGTGACCACGGTGGAGAACGGCTACCTGCACCAGGACTGCTGCTGCGCGCCCTGCCCGCCAGGCGGCCTCGTCCCCGCCGTCGTGGCCTCCGCAGCCGCCGCCACTGCCTGCTGCTGCCCGCCGCCGCCGCCGCCCAGCCCGGGCGCCAAGCGCAAGTACGAGCCGACGGGCGGCGCTGGGGATCCGCCGCTTCTGCCGCCTCCGCCGCCCGGTGCGCCTTCGCCCTTCGCCTCCTGTGCCAAGCGCGCCCGCTTCGAAGGCTTCCCCAGCGCTGGACCGGCGCCCTCGCCTTCCTCCTCTTCCTCCTCCTGCTCCCATCCTTCCTCCTCCTCCTCCTCCTCTTCCTCGCCGGATGCTTCCAACATCTCCAGCCTGATCTCCATCTTCGGCTCCAGCTTCAGCGGGCTGGTCAGCCGGCCGCCCCAGCCGGCGCCGCCGTCGGACTCGGAGCAGCTCTCCAGCGGACAGCTGTGTGGCAAACAGGCGCTGGCCAGCTTGGGGGCTTGGACGCGGGCCATCGTGGCCTTTTGAGAGCGGCCGGGGGCGCCGCTCGGCCCCCTTGGGGACGCGGGGGACGGACCGATGGCGGGCGGGAGACCCCGAAACAAAGACTGGACCGGCGGGGCTCTGGGCTGGAGCGGGGAGGGCAGGGGGGGCGTCGAACCGAGCGAATGTTTTCTGAGATTGGACCGCGGACTTTCCCCGGGGCCATCGGAGCTCCGCTTTTGCCGCGGACGACCGGCCGGCCGAGCAGAGGCGAGACGATTCGGGCAGCGAGGAACGCGGAAGACGGGCGAATAACTTTTCCTTTGTTTCTTGATTTCCCGGCGCTTTTGAGTTGGAGGGGTGGGTTTTCCCCCCGTTTTTTCTGGGTTTCAAGCCTTCTTTGATTTTCTTGCTTTGTGTGTGTGTGTGTGTCTTTTAAGAGGAGGGGTTTTTGATTTTTTAAAAAGGGGGAAAGGTGGGACCGTGAGCGAGCGCGAATGCTGCACGGGGGAAAAGGCGAAATTTTGGGGGTCTCGGTGGAGGAAGAGTTGGTTCTGCCTAATGGAGGGGGCGGTGGGGGAAAAAACTGGAAAATTGAGGGGAGGTCCCTGCCTGGAAAGAAGGCGATTTTCCCTTCCTTGCCTGTAAGGCTGGGGTGAGAAATATTTTTCAAAGCTTCAGAGTTAGGATTTATTTTGAAAGCCCCTTGAAAATCTGGGCTTTGAATGGATTTCGCTCTAGAGTCACTGCCCCCAACTCAAACGGACAGTATGCATTTTTTCCACTTCTCTGCAGCTGCTTAGGGTTTTTTTTGGGGGGGGAGGCTCACCTTTAGTGGGCATGGACCTCCCCTCCTCCCTTTTAAAAAAAAAAACCCGACGTTTTAAGCTGCAGAAAAATATTTCTTCAGAGGGTGATTTTTGTATCAATTGACCACGTTGGAAATGGTTACTATTTTTCCCTTGCATGTACACAAACATGCAGTACACACTCTTTAAGTATTCCATTTGCAGATGGGTTTTGGGGGGAGGTAACAGCTCCCATCCTGCACAGCTGTCTGCTTCCTCCCTCCCAAGGGGAGGTGTGGAAGAAAGAGAGGCAAACAGCTCTTAAGAGCTCCCGAGTTCACTATTTTTGTGTCTTTAACGTGTTGAATGACTCCTCCAATTTTTTTTTTTTTTTTGAAACACTCCTCAACCAGCCAGCATTGTTCAGTCCTGTGTGCAGGAAAAATAAAAATAAAAAATCTGTGTTTTCTGTAATCCTTTTTTATTTCTTGGAGAGGAGGGGGTGGGAATTAAATTTGTGTTTTTTTTAATTATTATTTTGCAAGGGAAGGGAGGAAAATAGCCTTTTGTTGTAAAAAGGTAGTTTTTTTTCAATCTGCCATCCACTTCACATTCAGCACTGTGTATTAAAGGACTCATTGCCAAAACCATTATTTTTTTTCCCACCCTCCCTTTGTATCTCTGTATATTTTTGTGTGTGTGTGTGTGTGCGTGTGTGCATACTGAATTGTATATCACCGGGTAAAACTGTTCAGATTTGTTTAAATTTATAATCTTAATAAAAAGGCCAATTATAAAAGGGGAAAGCATGTGGCTGTGTTGTCCTTACAAAAAGGAGCTTAGAGCTGGGAGAGGAATTGCAACTCTTGAGTTGCTGTTACTCCTGAGTAAGTGCATGACTCACCCTTGGCTAATGGGATTTGCTGCCGGCCCAGCCTTTTAAGTTGAGCCTAACCTAAAGTTGACTGAAAATGCCCCTGTCTGAGAGCATTTAAAACTCCAAGTTATCTTTCACATTTTAAAGATTTTTTTGGGAGGCTGTGGTGATGTCAAGCCTTATTCAAATGAATAAACAAAAGGAAAGAGAATGATCTACTTTCTTAAGACAACCAGACTGGAAGAAAAGAGCGTCTGCTATCTTCTTTTAAAAAAAACTTTTTTCATTAGTTTTTGGAGCAAACTTGGAGTTGTAAAAAGTTGAATTATTTATGCTTAGGGAGGCTTTGATGGATTCGGAGAGTTTATTTCAATCTGGGTTTCTTTTTTAAATTTTTTCAACAGAAGAGTGCCTTTGACAAAGGGCTAAAAAAATTTTTTCTTGTGGTTCTATAAAACATGGTTATGTGGCTGCATTCCTAAAGTTTGTTTTTCCCTCTTTATCTAGAGTGGAGTTTGTTATCTCTACTTTACGCCACTTGGTGGTGTTTTCCACACACCCCTTTCTTTAAACCAAATGAATGAAGGTAATAAAAAGATTTTTCTGACCAACTAGAGGCTGGCCTCAAAATTAATGGGTGTGCGTGACTGTGCACATGTGTGCCTACACAAACACATTTTTTTATAGGAGCTGTTACTAAAACATAGCTAGAAACATTCCCAATCCCAGACAAAATGGGCATAATACATGAAAACCTTTTGATACCCCTTATTAGAATTTTTACCCGGAAAGGATATTTACTTTCTGACCTCAAATAGATTATCATTTTTGCTTCTAAGGGTCACTGATGGATTTTGATGAATTTGTGCACTTGCTACTATCATTTTTTTCATTTATTTTTTCTTAAGTAGGAAAATCGTTTTATTATGGATCATGTTAGCTCATCTTGGTTTAAATTTTGAAAAAGCCCATTTTAGATCTGAATTGAAATACAGGAGAACGGAGTGTATTGAAATCAGAACTTAATATTTAAACAAAAAGGAGTTCCCTTCCGTTTTTTAATTTTTTCTTAAAAGAATGTATATAATTTTAATTCATTTTTCCCCAGTTTAAATTTACAACCGCGGTAAAGTCCAGCTTGAGAAGGCAATTGCCAGAGCTCTCCCTAGTGGTCAATGTGGGCGTTGCAGCATTATGCTATAGTAGATTAAAAAATACATTTCAGAGTTGGAATCTTGGGTTTGAGTTGAGTCCAAATTCAACTCATTTGGGAGGGATTGATATCATTACTGGGGGTGGGTGGGAAAGTGGATGACTCTTCTCTTACAGTTTATTGCCTCTTTGCACAGATATTCACACATAAGCACACTCAAATACATATACACACATCTAAATGGGCTGCATAAAAAGATTAAAACGAAAAGCCTGTTCTAGAACTTGGATAACCCAGGATAATTGCTACAGGATGCTAAGCCATGGTTTTAATGAACAAACTCCAGCCGAGTCCATGCGGTGCACTACATGCATCAGGATTTACCAACCACCATCTGGGTTTACCTGTATCCTGCCTTCGTTATTTTTACAAATAACTCAAGGTGGCAAACATCCAACATACTTTCCTCTTTTCCCCACAACCCTGTTGTGGGGAAAGCCACAGCTGGCTTCCACGCCTAAGACAAGACTAGAACTCACTGTCATCTGGTGATTGGCCCAAAGTCATCCAGTGGGCTTCCTTCCTTCCTTCCTTCCTTCCTTCCTTCCTTCCTTCCTTCCTTCCTTCCTTCCTTCCTTCCTTCCTTCCTTCCTTCCTTCCCCCTTTCAGCCTCATTTCAGCCGCTCTTTCTATCTCCTTTTCCTGGAGGACTCACAGGGCAAAACCAAATTCTCTGTTGCTTTTCCTCCCCAAAAAGGGCCCAACCGCTTTGAAAGAGAGCATGCAAAAAAAAAAAGGCTTGTAAATAAAGCAAAACCGTTGTGTTGAAAACAGCCCTGACCCCATTTGGGTGTTGTGGAAGGCAGAGAGAGGAGAAAATGGAATTAGCTGAAGACAGAGTTTGTTCTGGGCTAAATTTAAACTCCTGATAATTAGCAGATTGGCTCTGCTGGACCCTTCTTGGTATTCCCACAAGACAGTTAACCTCTCCATGAACCCAGTTAAGTATGTTGTGGGAACCAGGCCAATGGACGGGGCGAACCTAAAAAAACAGGTTAATTTAGCAACCAGCTTGTGGGTTGGGCAAAATGAAGAGTATCCCTTAACGCACCCAGAAAACCAGATTTTTTTCCCATTCAGGTGCACAAGAGTTGCCTATATTTAAAAGGGGGGGGGAAATGGGGCAGTTTGCAGGCAAATGAAAACCAGACCAACGTCCCAATCAACCTATGTGGGATAAAAAAAATATTTGTGGCCCCAATGCTTAAGGTTCGTACTGACTTAATTAATTTATTAATGGTTGATTAACGGTATCCTTGCTTTCAGTTAAGATTAATTCATATTTAATTCCATGCAGTTATGATCTTACCGCCAAATGCTCAAGGCGGCTAACGACATGAAAACTCAAATAGCAAAAGAGGCTTTTTAAAAAGCAAGTTAATTAGAACTACCTTCAAATTTAAGTTAAGTCTCTTTCAAGAATGGACATGTTCAACATATTCTTGGCAACGCTGAGAAAGGGGTAGGAAGGGTTTGTCAACTTCACCCCTTGGTCTGTGGCACCGAGATCGCCTGGTGGTGTCTCATTCAGGCCCAAAGCAGTTTGAAACCTGCTTAAGTGTTTGGAGACCAGCCCAGGTTAGAATAAAAAACTTCTTGTTAAGTTCAATTGTGGTGACATCATCAACAAATCCAGCTAGTTTCCACTACATCCACATGGAGAAAAGTGAGCAGTGGGTACCACGAGGTTCCCTCTTAGGCCCAGTAAACTCTCCAATATCTTCATCAATGACTTAAATGAGAGAATTGAAGAGGAACTCATCAAATTTGCAGATACCAAACTGACAGGAGTAGCCAACACCCTAGAAAACAAGCTCAGGATCCAAAAAGATCTTGACAAACTCGAACAATGGGCCCTATCCAACAAAATGAGTTTCAGTGTGGAGAAAAGCAAAGTCTTACACTTAGGCAGGAAAAACCAAAGGCGAGACCTGGCTCAAAAACAGCAACTGTGAGAGGGACCTTGGAGTCCTAGTGGACGATCACTTCACCATGAGCCAGCAGTGTGCAGCAGCAACCAAAAAAGCTAATACAATCCTGGTTTGTATAAACAGAGGCATAGAATCAAGATCATGCAAAGTATTAGTACCGCTTTATAAAACCCTAGTTAAGACCACACCTAGAATACTGCAGTCAATTTTGGTCCCCATATCACAAAAAAGATGTTGAGAGTTCGGAAAAAAATTCAAAGAGCAACTAAGATGACCCAAGGCCTGGAGACTAAAACATATGAAGAACGGCTACGGGACTTGTGTTTGGCTGGTCTAAAGAAAAGAAGAAATAGGGGAGACATGATAGCAGCGTTCCAGTATCTGAAGGGCTGCTACAAGGCAGAGGGAGCCAGGTTGTTCACCAAAGCACCAGAGGGAAGAATGAGAAACAATGGTTGGAAACTGATCAAAGAGAGAAGCAACCTGGAATTAAGGAGAAAGTTCCTAATAGTGCCGACAATCAACCAGTGGAACAGCTTACCCCCAGAAATCGTGGGCGCTCCATCACTGGAGATTTTTAGGAAGAGACTGGACATTCACCTGTCTGAGATGGTATAGGTTCTCCTGCTTGAGCAGGGGGCTGGCCTAGAAGACCTCCAATGTCCCTTCCAGCTCTATTCTATTCTATTCTATTCTATTCTATTCTATTCTATTCTATTCTATTCTATTCTACTCTTATTCTTGTTTACTGAATGGAAGGCAAACCTTCAGCTGTTCGCTTGGATGCCATTATCAGCTCCAAAGGGGGTCTTTTGTCCTTTTTAAAATTAAAATTAACCAGATGATGCCCCTCTCTCCTGACCACTGTGCTGGTGGAAGAAAATTCACTCTGCACCTTCTCAGAAGCCAACCCTTTTCTCATTATCCTTCGCCTGACTTCTGACCTCACGGCTTGGAAGCTGGGACGATGGATCGGTTGCAAACCCCAGCAGAAGGTTCAGCCTTTGAACTGCTAAAGCTGGGATCCTTTCATGTTTTCTCCTCGGCTGTCAGTTCAGCAATTCCTTTCCGAGGGAGAAAAACTCAGCAGAGCAGCAGAACAGGGAGGAGGAGGAGAAATTGGGGCTGGGGGTTTTTAGGGGAGAGGGAGAAAAAGGGAGAGGGGATTTTTGCTGTCACCCTGAAAATTTACCGACAGCATGATTAATTTATCGGCTGCTGATGAATATGAGGATGAGTCGAGGCAGGGAAAGAAGAGCAAAGAAACAATCGCTGTAGCTTCGCTTGGTGGAAAGGCTTCTGGGAGTGTGCAGAGAGCCAAACAAAGTTTTAGGGGATGGTCTGATCAGCTGGTTGGCTTAAGCAAGGGCTGGGAAGCGACGTCTCCTAAATCTGGAGCTTTCCCTTTTATCATGCCAGATTTAATTTACTGAGTTTCTTGGAAAAGGGAGAGAAAGCATTAAGATGGGCTGGACTTCCATTCCCAGAATACCCTAGCCCGGCATTTTATTAGACATATCAGTCCAGACGCCGACTGGGGAATTCTGGGAGCTGAAGTCCAACCATCTTAAAGTTGCTGAGGGATTGGAAGGGGAGGGTTACTACGGGGGGTGCACAGTGGTTAGCAAAAATTTTCCAGGTTAACACAATTTCTTGGGGGAAAGAAATCATATGGATGCTCATCTTTCTTTGATAGTTGCGCTTTGACAACTGGATCTGATCAGTTTCACAATGTTTCACTCCAAGGACTCTCAAACTCAGGCTCATCAATTGAGGGAGGCGAGGCAAACGAGGTGCGTGCTGTGTGAATGTGTCCATTTGTGTTATATATGGATTGCTGTCAGAACCTCCTGCAGAGGGTCAGGATTTTGTACAGTTGCAGCTCTCAGGAGCAAAGACGGATCCAAAATAAACATGCGATGTGAAACGAGGACTATCTCAAAAATACAAGCCGGATCTCGGGAATTATGGAGAGCCAGACAAACAAAATCACAAAAATAGGATTCTTCCGTTGTTTATTTCAAGGGAAAGGGACTTATCCTTTTCACACACACACACACTCACACATACACAAACACAAATGTATAAAACAGGATTTCATGGCCCAGGAAAACTAGAGAACTTCTGCCTGACATTGATTTCAAGACCCCCTTAAGGAAACACGTCCTGCTTCTGTGCCGAAACTCCAACTTAAGACTTTGGATTCAAGATCCTTTGATTCTGAAAGGAATTTGCAGGCTCTGCATCATTCTGGATATTTGGTTGTTCCTGTGATTATACAATGGAGAAATTAGATAAAATCCATATGGTGGCTAAAGAGATGGTCCTAAGTTGAGGACTGCCTGTCCAGCTCCAGCTCCATACCACAGGACTGGAAGGGACCTTGGAGGTCCTTTAGTCCAACCCCCTGCTCTTCTTGGAAACCTCTGGTGATGGAGCACCCACAACTCCAAAAGGCCCGCCGTTCCTTTGATTGATTCTTCTCATTGTCAGGAAATTCCTCTGTTGTTCTACGTTGGTTCTCTCCTTGAGTTTCCATCCATCGTCTCTCAGGTGCTTTGGAGAATAGAGTGGCCCCATCTTCTTTGGGGCAGGCCCTCAGACATTGGAAGGTGCTATCATGTCCTTTTCTTTAGACTAGCCATACCCAGTTCCTGCAACCGTTCTTCGCATGTTTCAGACTCCAGCTTCCTGATCATCTTTGTTGCTCTTCCCTAACGTGGGTTACATTTTTGCTTTTAAACAAATGACTCCCCCCACCACGGCCCAAACATTTCCTGGAAGATGCAAAATTCAAGGAAAAGCAGACAGCTCAAGATCTAGAACCACTGGCCCTTCCTTCTTCCCAACCGCCGGTCCGTGGATCAGTACCGGTCCGTGGCATGCCAGCAACCGGTTCGCACAAACAAGCAAAGCCCCATCTGTGGGATGCAGGCAGCACACAAAACCACGCGGAAAAACCTCTCTCCACGTAACCGGTCCCTTGTGCCCAAAAGGTTGGGGGCCTCTGCACTAAAACATTCTCCAGAGTGACTTTCCCCAAAGCTTAAACACATCCAGTCCCATTCAGTTCTGAAGAAGAGTTCCCCAGATCCTATGGGAGAAGAACAAACGTCTTAGGAACCGGGTGCCACCCTGATCTTCTCCAAAACATATTATTATCACCATCGCATTGTTCAATTATATTATTTTACTCTTATTACTAGGACAGGTGAGTGGTAGAAAACACAGGAAGCCGTTCTATTAACTATGTAATTTCACTGATCCCGCATCTGGCCTAAATGATAATTTACTTTACCTCCAGCCCATACAAAGCTGTGTGCCCCAGAATTACATAGTTCTTGAAAAGAAAACACTGAAGACCTGGGATCAGCTTTATTCCTCTAGAAACATTGGGGGGGGGTATTAAGAGATGGAGAGGGACGTAATCTAAGCAGTAGATAAACAGATTTGATGGTCACAAGGAGCTCTTTCAAAATGCTGTTTGATTAGGAATTCAGTTTGCTGACTTGGCCTTAGGTTTTTGTTGTTCGAGAGATCCATGTCTGCCACCTGGAAATCCCAGAGAACAGCAGCCTGCAGGAAGTCCTCAACTTACAACCTTTGAGCAACCGTTGGAAGAGATGTATGACCGGTCCTCATACCTGCAATCATTGCAGCATCGCCACGGTCAGTCAAAATCGGCCTGTCTTTGCCACAGTTGCAGCATCCCAGGGTCATCTGACTGACATCCACAAGCCACTTTGTGACAAGCAAAGTCAATGCAGGAAGCTGGATTTCTTTAACGACACGATTCACTTAAGAACCGTGGCAAAAAAAGATTGCAAAATTGGGCAGGCATCTCTGAACAGAAATTCTGGCCGTTCAGTGGAGGACTGCCCGACCTCGCAGGTTAAAAAGAATCGAGAGCGAAGGTTCGCCTTCAACCAATCCTTGAGAAAAGCTCAACAAATATACCGGTCAGACACTGAACAAAACGCGGGCGACTCCAGGCAAAATTCAACAGGTTTAATTCCAGCCAACAGGCTAAAAGAACTGGGGAACAGGGTCAAGGGGAAGGCTGATGGGCCCAGGAAAGCCAGACTGACCGTTCTGGACTTAGACACAGATATGCAGAAGTACAGACCGGGCAGACAGGCTAAACGACACTCAACTGAATGTCCACCAGCTAGGCCCAAATGTCTCCAAACTTGGCGACTTTAAGACTTATGGATTCCCAGAATTCCCCACCCCATATGTGGGCTGATGTGTCTAGGAAGATGCTGGCTGGGGAATTCTGGGAGTTGAAGTCCAGCAGTCGTAAGGAGACTCCTTAAGCTGGGCTATTGTACTGTAAAACCTAAGAGAGGGTTCAAAACCCCTGACCGTCCAGCCGAAGGAGCGCGCACGGGGCCCTGGATGATACCTGCTATGAAGAAAAGCTACACCACACAGAGAAAGAGGCCAATCCTATTTAATGGAAGGTGCAGCTCTCCAGGCACCGGTGTCATCCTTGGGGGTTTCACGTTTGCAAGAACAGGCAAAGATGCGATATTTTGAGGGGGAGGGAAGAGGGGGTGTCTCCTCCCCAGGCTGAGTAGACACATGCAAGGTTTGCAAGATCCCACCCCCATCAGCAAGCTTGCCTGGGGAAGCTGCCACTTGCTTTGATCAAGGTTTCAAAAGGCTGGGGGGGGGGTTGCGCGCAGCCATTTCAAGTGCAGTTCCAAGAGGGCTGTCCAGGAGTAAAATACGGGAAAGGCAGGAAAAGAGATCAGCCAACAGAGGAGAATATTGGCAGCTCAGGATTGAAATGAGGGGTCCTCAGTGCTCCCTAAACTTGTTTTTTTTCTGGCAGACGTTTCATCACCCAACTAGGTTACATCATCAGCGCTATCAAGGAGTGGGGTTTGCTTCTAGCACTGATGGTATTACCTAGTTGGGTAAAATGAAACTTCTGCAAGAAAACTACTAAGTTGAGAGCGCACCAAGGACCCCACAGTTGTCGTTATCTTCCTCCTCCTCCTCCTCTCTGCAAACTCCACTCTCTCCTAGCACTGATGACGTTACCTCAAAGAGACCAGCAGGTGGAATCCACCACTTACTGGGAATGGGCCTTTGAAGTTACACCCAGCCACCACCTCTTTCAAATTAGGCTCAGGCTGAACATTAAAAAAAAATAAAATTAGGGGGTTCCTTTAAAATGGAATAAACTGGCAAAGCCACTCTGGCTTCACCTTTCCTGCGCTATAGAAGCGTCTCTTGGAATTCCCCCCCAATTGAGGAGAAAAAACAGGGTTGGCAAGTTTTTTCAAGGAGCCAGAATAAATAAATAAATAAATAAATAAACCTACCGAACCGGTTGAATTAGAAGTGGAGGCAAGCTTATACCAGGAATGGAGACCCCCCCCTTCTTCCAAATCACTTGGAGGGGAGGGAGGGGCAGGTAAAGAAATGTGTTCCCCATCCACTTCAACTGGGAGATCTTAAAAAAAAACTTGGTGGTTTTAAGAGACGTGGACTAGAATTCTCCAACCAGCATAGATATTTCCACTTTAGTTGTTTCCTGTTGTGTCCAATTTCTGCCCACAAAGAAGCTTCACTTCTAACCATTATTCCCCTATTTAGATGCAGCTAACATTTCTGCAAATCAATACAAAATGCTTTTTTTTTTGCCCTCTACCCAACCATTTCCTGGAAGAAGCAAAATTCAAGGAACAGCAGACTGCTCAAGATCTAGAACCACGGCTCCTTCCTTAAGTCAATTTCAAGAATTAAGTCAATTTCATCTTCCTGTCTGGTCAATTTCACCAGGCACCGAGCAGAACCTGGGATTCCAAACCTATTTTTTTCTTGATGCAGGCTAGCAAGAGGATAATTGTTTTTACTGCTGTTCTTTGAACTTGCTGTCCGTCTGAACCCTTCAAACATGGTGTCCCCAAGTGGAGATGCCACATGCTGGCTGGGGAATTGTGGCTTGCCAGAGCTTGGGCAATGGCAATACTTGCAAGGGGAAGGATTTATGCCTCAGTAAGAAAAAACTTTATAATGGAAGATTGGTTCTATCTGGATCTGGAGACAGAAACACAAGATGTTACTGGAGTATGCAGGAATGGGACAGAGGAAGAGAGAAAAAAAATAAAGAGGATTTAACAGGAAGAATTGCATTTGAAGAGGAGTTCTAGGGCTAAGAAAGAGATAGCCAAGATAAATATTCAGCAAATGTCTGAAAAAGTACCATTGCTGGGTTGAGGGGGTGGGAGGGGGAAAGGAGGCAGTTTGGGGCAGCATCCCAAACTCCAGACAGAAGACAGGAGAAGATGAATCCTGGCAGGAAAGGATTTCTGCGTTGCCAGGATTATAGTGCTGCGCTTGGCGTGACTGTAAAGGCAGGAGAAATTTCAAGCAGGCTTCAGTTTAAGGTCCTTTCCTAGGACCAAGCACAGGAAGTCAAAATCTACAGGTCTGGTAAAGGTCCTCACATTTGCAGCTTGCACATCTGAATTCCATAGCAGCGTCTTTCAACCTCAGCAACTTTAAGAGGGGTGGACTGCTTCCCAGAATCCCCCAGCCAGCAATTCTGGGAATTGAAGTCCACCCCTCTTAGAGTTGCTAAGGTTGGAAAACAGGATTGAACAGACCTGTTGCGAAGGATGGGGGAGCCAAGTTGGATCTCCAGTTGCTCAGAGTAGCACATACACAATCTTTTGAAACTGGGGGCACTGTGGGATTTCAGGTGGGCTTCCAACCCCACCCCTTGGAGGGTGCTGCCCTCAATTTTGCTCCAAAAGGGGGGAGGTTGGGCATGTAAGAGATCTGAGATTTTGCACTGAATTCGGGGGGAAAAGCCACTGAGCAGCTTCGTGGGGCTCTGACATTCCCACAATTTCCTATCTTCCATGTTTCAGGACTGGGACATGAGGCTGCAGATGCCCAGGCCTTTCCCTGTACCCCAAAATTGTTGAGGGGGATATTTCAACCCAGCTCAAGTTCCCAGATGAAACCAGGGCTCACCACGGCTGAGAAACTAGTGTTATCACTCTTTGGGGGTGGGGGCTCCAAACACTTCAACTACAACTCCCATCTCCTGACTATTCTGATGGGGCAGGAATGATGGGGGCTCTGGTCCCACGGCTCTGGAAAGGGCCAGAGTGGGCTGCTGCTACCCAATAGCGATGCATCCGGATTCAAAGCAAACTTCCATGCCAGTCAAGGAACACTGTGCTTCAATTTTTATTCCGTCCCTGACTGCTGCAAAGAAGCCTGTTCAGCTCCCTCCACCTTTGCTTTGGGTCACAGAAAACCTACCGGCTAACCCACTGCGCCCCCAAAAGGAAGCCGATCTCCTTTTGCAGAATGGGGTCCTCAGGGCCTCTCTTTAACTTCCTCCAAATCCCAGTCCTCCGAGGACAGGGGTCTCCAGACCTGACAACTTTAAGACTTGTGGACTTTAATAGAGCTGGCTGGGAATTCTGGGAGTTGAAGTCCACAGGTCTTGAAGCTGCCCAGGTTGGAGACCCCCGTCCAAGGGGATCAAGGCAAAGAAACAGAAGGATTGGGAAGGGACCCTCGGGAAGAATGCAAGCACGGCCAGCTTGTCTCTAAATTTAAAGCATGTGTATTTGCCCAGCAAAATATACACCCCCCCCTCCCAGTCTTAAGAGCACCAACCATCCTGGGGCAAACAAAAAAGGGGGTGCAGAGGAGGGGGGGACAGTTGTGTGGCCCGACTCAAGTCCACCTCTTGCCTTTTTTTTCTTTTTCCTTTTGCGTCAATGCAAGGGTCTTCTTGGACAGTTGTGCCCCGCCAGGCAGCTGCCGAAAGGGAGGAGCATCAAGGCCGGCGGGTACTGGGGTGAGTGGGAAGGGGACCCCTCCCGCCGCTCGGCAGGGCTCCCCCCTCCTCGGTCCCATCACCAACAGAGCTCCTTAAGGCGCGACGGGCTGGATAGGGAGCAGGCTGCCGAACTTGAAGTGCTGAATGACGGGGAACTTCTCCAGGCACTAGAAAAGGGGGGGGGGGAAACAGAAGAGAGACAGAAGTTTGACATCGGCGTCCATCATGGGCTGGAGTCACCAGGCAAAGGTAGTCCTCGACTTACGACCGCGACTGAGGCCAGAATTTCCAACTACGCCATTCCGTGAAAGGTCCAGGGAGGCTGACAAATACCAGGTCTTCACATTCGTGGACTGCCTAACACCTTCGTAGAGCCTCAAGTCCAGGCAGATGTTTGATCCAGAACTACGACAGGTATAGCCCCCCCCCTCCTCTGCCTTTCCTCACCTCAGCTTTGTACATCCGGACGAGCCCCTGGTTGACTTTGGACCACGAAGGGACAGCGCTGATGTTCCACAGCTGGTTGGAGTGCTCAGGGAAGGGCCCTGTCTTCATCTGGAAGGCAAAAGGAACCAGGGTTCACTTCCAGGCACATCCCCACAACAAACTGGAGCCCAAAGTGGTCTAAAAAAACCCCACACACGGTCACTGTGGGAAGTTCCCCTCGATTTTTGTTTTGCACATCTGGGGATGAGAACGTTTAAATCCCAGACGGTATTTTTCCCGTTTGCTGCATGGCTGCTGGCCGTTGGTGCAGGGCAGTTTCTTTGGAAGCACTGAGAAAAACTGCTGGAAGAAACAGAGAGCCTGAACTTTGGGACACAACTCCAGGTAGTCCTCTGACTTACAACAGTTTATTTAGTGATTGTTACGGCACAGGAAAAAGTGACTTATGACCGTTTTTCACAGTTACGACCTTTGCAGCATCCCCATGATCGTCTGATCAAAATGGCCACTGCTTCATACTTACAGCCATTCCAAGGTCACACAATCCCCTTTTGCGACCGTCTGACAAGCAAAGTCAGTGGGGAAGCCAGGTTCAGTTAAGAACTGGGTTAACTGCATGATCCAGATGCCAGAAGCTGGAAGTAAAGACTGGAAACTGGTGAAAAGCATGGACAGGTGAGGCCCAAGGATGCTGCAAATGGCTGACCTGCGAGTCACAGGCCAAGCACCCAAAATGCTACTTTCAAAGTTATGACGGCTGCACACCCGCAGGCACACACCCCGGACTCTAGAAAGAGGTTAGGGAAGAGCCAAAAAGATGATAAGGCACCTGGAGGCTAAATCATACAATGATTTCAGGGAAGCAGGTATGTCTAGCTTAGTGAAGAGAAGGACCAGGGGTGACATGATAGCAAGTCTTCCAATATCTCAGGGGCTGCCCCAGAGAGGAGGGGGTCAAGCTCTTCTCCAAAGCCCCTGAAGGCAGGACAAGAAGCAACGGATGGAAACTCATCAAGGAGAGAAGCAACCTGGAACTAAGGAGAAATTTCCTGACAGTGAGACTAATAAATCAGCGGAATGGTTCTGCCTTCAGAAGTTGTGGGTGCTTCAACACTGAACGTTTTTAAGAAGAGATTGGACCACCATTTGTCTGGAGTGGTTTAGGGTCTCCTGCTAGAACAAGGGGCTAGACTAGAAGACCTTCAAGGTCTCTTCCAACCCTGTAATTCTCTTATTTATTTCCCACCTGCCGATCTGCGCCCGGCCCAATCTTGCTTGCCCAAGAGGCCAAAAGACCGGTTCTGCTGGCTGTCTGGGCATCGGAGCGTTTTGGAAGGCTGAGGCGCCCCTTCTCCAGCAATCTACAATGGGCGGGGAGGACTCCCCCAGAAGGCTGCACCCTGACCTTTCCGACCCCAGCAATCTTTTGCAAGAAAGCAATTCGGATGAACTCCCAAGCAAAAGGGGCAGGGCTGGCGGGGAGGCGAAAAAGCAGCCGAGTTACTTTTCCTGGACACGATTCTGGGGCACACCCTTCAGAAGAAAGCTGGCTCTGTCTGGGGGGGGGGGGGGAAGAGAGAGAGAGAGAGAGAGCAAGGAGGAGGAGGAGGAGGTTGGGAGGGAATGCAACTCAACTTGCCGAGAGGGAAGTTTCCATGACATCATCCACCACAGAGCTGCAGCGCCAGCTGAAAAGCAAGCCTGGGAAGAAGTCAACAGCCCTTGCAGGATGCGGATTTTAAAATAACTCACTTCCTCCTCCTCCTCCTCTCTCCAGACCTAAAGCACACAGAATATTCAGACTGCAACCCCCCAGCATCAAAAACAAACAGGGGTTGAGAGGAGGAGGAGGGGGGAATTAAAAGGGATGGTGGAGGGGGGGGGAGATTGCATTTTAAATGCACTGAAAATCACTATACTCAGCCCAAAGGTATTTTGGGGAAGAGAACGGCAACACAGTGGGGCGGTTGAAGAGGGGAGAAAATAGGTGATCGGCCCCTTCCTCCTCCCCTGGTGGTCAGCCCCCTTTCTCCACCCTTTATAACAAGGCCTGGGTTTCATTTCTACCCCCAACAGCTGCCAAAAATCCCCCATCCCCAAGAGCAAAGAAAAGGACAACGGGTTGCTGGTTTCCCCTTGCTAAGCCAACAAGGGTTGAGGATCTGGAGCAGAAGCACAAATCTGGGGTGGGGGGGTAAAGAGGGGAGCTGAGGCAAACCTAAAGGGGTTATCAGGTTCTTTGCAGAATTTCTTCGGCTCAGCTGCCGAAAGGAACAGAGGAAAAGCATCACTCCAAAACACAGAAGAAAAAAAAAGCCAGAAGGACAGGGGTGGGGTAAGGAATGAAGGGACACAAAGTCTGTTTTTTTTGGGGGGGGGGCGAGGAATCTGCCACACCTGCTTTTCAAGCTCCTAGTCCTCAAGGGCTCCAGCAGGGGTGGGAAAAATGCAGTTTGTGAGCTAGAGGTTGGATCCCCACAATGGAGCCCAGGATTTCTGTTGCTAAGTGAGACATTTGTTAAGTGAGTTTTGTCCCATTTTACCTCCTTTCTTGCCACAGGCTGTTAAGCGAATCACAGCAGTTGTTAAGTGAATCCGGCTTCCCCATTGGCTTGGCTGGTCAGGTTGCAAAAGGGGGTCACGTGACCCCCGGGACTCTGCGACCGTCACAAATATGAGTCAGTTGCCAAGCATCTGAATTTTGATCATGTGATCAGTGATGCTGCAATGGTCATAAATGTGAAGGGACCTCAGAGGTCTTCTAGTCCAACCCCCTGCTCAGGCAGGAGACCCTATATCGGACAAATGGCTGTCCAGTCTCCAGTCCTGGAGCACTCATAACTTCTGGAGGCAAAGCGTTCCACGTCCTATTTTCAATCTGCAAATAGATGAGCAGTTAGCTCTGAGACAGAAGGCAAAAGGCTGGAGGATTTCAAGGGCCTTAATCGAAGGACGGGGACTGAAGCTGGGGCAATGCGGGGGGGGGGGGGAGGAGCAAGGCCCCAATTCGGAAAAAGCCCCAGGCAGCAGGAGCTGCAGAGGCCTCTTCGTCAAGCCCAGCCAGATCCTTGAAAGGGAATTAAGCGTGACTCATCCAGGCTGCCAAAGCCCCAGCAAAGGTGGTGAGCTGCATTTAAGTTCTTCCCAAGAAGCATCGGAGACTTCAGCTCACGTGAGGCTCCTCCAGAGTGAACCCCTGGGCTGTTGGATCGATTGATTTTTATTTATTTATTGGCTGTTATCTCTCCTTTAGAGGTGGCCCTCACGACCACAAGTGAGCCCAAAATTTCTGTTGTTAAGCAAGACACACACACACACACACACACCACTGACTTTGCTTGCCACGAGCTGGCTGGAATGGCGATCACACAGGACCCTGGGATGCTTTTGTTTTATTTGCTTTGAAAAAAGGTTGCAAATCACTTTTTTTCCCCTTTCTCCTTTCCTTCTCCTCTCCTATTTCCCTACCATCTTCCTTTGCATTTGAGAATTACAGAATAACAGAGTTGGAAGGGACCTTGGAGGTCTTCTAGTCGAGCCCCCTGCTCGAGCAGGAGACCCTATGCCCTTTCAGACAAGTGGCTGTCCAGTCTCTTCTTAAAAACTTCCAGTGATGGAGCACCCACAACAGCTGTTCCATTCACTGTCAGGAAATTTGATCTTGTTTTCCTTCCTTCCTTCCTTCCTTCCTTCCTTCCTTCCTTCCTTCCCCATCTTTATTTTTACAAGTAACTCAAGGCGGCGGTACATTGCATTTTATATGATGATCCACTTCAATAAAAACTATATATTTTTGAAAAAAGAAACAAGAAAAACGTTTAAAAATGGATCAGCGCTTGCAATAAAGGGATCTGTGACTCAGACAAGGAAAGCCTCTTGTCTGCCCCTTCGCGGCCAGGCTCCCACAATGTCGCTGTCGCTTGGGGCAGATGGTGGTTTGTGTTTGTGTTCCAAAGAGATGACCTTTCGCGCAGCCTCGGTTACGAAACCAGAGTTTGGCACCCTGAGAGACACCACTCCGCCCAGGCAGGTGGGCATCACCGAGGTGCCAAACGGACATCTGCTGGAGAGGGAAGACTGGGAACGAAGTGGTGGAGTGTTGGAAAAAAGCAAAAAAGCAGAGAGAAGCAGGAAAAAAGAGAGAGAGGAAGAAAAGAGCTGCAGCTGGTTCCAGCCACAAGAAAAGAAGAACGAGACAGGGAGAGAGAACGGTGGAGAGAGAAAGAAACACAGAGAGAAGGAAACAGAGAAACAGAAAGAGAGAAAGAGAGAGAGAGAGTCCTGCAGTGACCCCCAGGGAACAGAATGAGTCAGGCTAACCATATTGAGCAGGAAATTACTCACAGACGCTGCGTTCCTGCCTCTGTGTTCCCAAGAGAATCGGCCTTTTGTAAATGGTTCCTCTGTCAGTTGAAAAAAAAAAATTGGTGGAGGGGAGATGGAAAAGGGGAGGGGGGAAGGCAGCTGAGTCCAGCACCTTCCTGTCCGTGGCTTCCCTTCCAGGCAGGAAGGGCTTAGCATTCCTGCCTTTTTTTCCCCCAAGCCCCAAACCTGCAAAGCTTTAAAAAAAAACCTTTTATTTTACTTCTACACCCCCTTCTGAGACCCCACCCCGCCCCAGCTCCTTTATTTAAATTATTAAATTACTCTGTTATTCCCAAAACTTTCCCAAATTTAGAAGCCGGATTTATTTATCGATTTGTAAAAATTCATTAGCCGCCCATCCTTACGGTAAGATTAAAACTGGGGAGAGAGGGCAGGGAGCCGGGGTGGGGAAGGGGTCGAGAAGGGGGTGTAGAGGGGAAAAAAACAACCTAATAAAACATTTTTAAAAAGCTTTGCACTGCATGTTTGGGACTTGGGGGAGAAAAAAAGGCAGGAATGCTAAACCCTTCCTGGTTTTCTCCAGGCGGTGGAATTCGTGAGTGGGAAGGCAATAGTTTTCTGGCCTGTTCACTGACCCCCCATGCCACACCCCGCCCAGGGGGTGGTGGGGGTGGTGGAGCCCTGCTTTGGAAATGAGGCGGGGGGGGGACCCCACAAGAGACAGGGAGATGCTCTTGCTGAACAAAGGAACAAAGCCGTGGGCGGGAAGGAAGGAGAGCTGCCTGGGAGCAGAAAGACTACGCTGGATGGGGGGAAGAGAAGTGAGGCTGTGCAAGGACTATGGTGTCCCCAACGTAGGCTGAATGTTGTCCCTCTTTCAGGGATCTCCAAAGAGCAAAGGTGCTCCTGTCAGAAGGTCGCAAAAGAGGCTCACGTGACCCCGGGGCGCTGGAACCGTCATAAACCTGAGCCAGTTGCCAAGAGTCCGGATTCTGACCACAGGACCCAGAGGATGCCGCAACAGTTGTGTGAAAAATGGTCATAGGTCACTTTGTACGTTTGTAACTTTGAACAGTCGCCAAACAAACCCTTGTAAGTCAAGTCCACCTTTTTTAGACAAAGCAGACGAGACCAAACCGAACCCGGCTTAGAAGCAGAAGTGGGGCTCTTGCGGTCCAACCTTTTCCATAAAATCGAGAAATGGCAGGTCACTAGGTGGAGCTGCAAGAACACAACTGGAGTCCAGTTCACAAATTCTCCCCATCAAGGCTTGAGGAAAACCTACCAGAAGTTTTCTGCAAAAATCAGGTCTCCTTCCACAATACAAGAAGAGTCCTTGACATATAACCACTTGTTTAGTAACCATTCAAAGTCAGGCGGAATTCCAGTCTCACCTCTGTGATGAACCGGATACATTCCAGGAACATGTAGTCCTTGTGCTGCTCGTTCACCACCTTCTCGTCCACAAAGTGACGCGGCTCCAGGTTGGGGTGATCTAAAAACAGGATCTTTTTAGAGGGGCTGGAAGTGAAACCCTGAAGGAGATTTACTGCATGGAAGTGAAAAGTGGAAAAGAGAAAGAGAGAAGCAGAGGAAGAGAAAAGGAGAAAGGGGGAAAGGGGGAAAAGCAAGAGCGCAACAGAGGCAAAGGAAGAAGCAAAGAGAAAGAGAGGAGGCAGAGAGAGGAAGAGAAAAAGGGAGGGGGGAGGACATGCCTGCTTACCAATCAACTGGGAACTTCCCCAAATGAAGGGCAGGAACTGAAAGTCGTCGAGACCCCAGACCCCCTGACTGCCAGCTGGCTCCATCCGATAGGTTTTCTGGAGTTTCCGCATGACTTCCAAGTACCTGAAACCAAATAAACTTGGATGGGCCGTGACTGTGCAGCAGCTCAGCCTTTTATTATCCCGGTCTGCTGCTGATGGCCCGATGGAGCCACAAAACAAACCTCCACATGGGAAAAGCCCCCCCCCATTGGGAGGAATAATGGAGTGACCAGAAGATGAAGCAGAGGGGGAATCTGGGGAGTATTTGGGATCTCGGTCAAAGCCATAACGTGGGCAGAACCTGGGGGCTGGACTAGAAGATCTCCAGTGTCCCTTAAAACCCTATCATTCTATGTCCTCGGTTCCCTCTTCAGGGCTGGCCTCACTTTCCCAGGAAGCAGGTCTCCTACCTCTCCCCTTGCACAAGGGCCCAAGAGAGAGGGTGCAGAAGGAAAACAGCATCAGCTCTCTGAGAACTTGTTCCAAAGTGGTGCTGTCAACCTCGGCGGCTTTAAGAGGCCTGGACTTTACCTGTTGAACACTTTGAAGACGATGGCCAGCTGGTCGTCCACCCGGAGGACGCCGATTTTACAGAGGCAGCAAAGGAAGGCAGCAAACGCCGCTTCGTGGCCTGTGGGGAGAAAGGAGATGCTCAGGAGGACGAATGGAGAGACAGTTTGGTTAAGGCTAGAAAACAGGACGCAGTGAGTTCTAGTTCAGCTTTAGTCATAAAAGCTGGCTGGGTGACTTTGGGCCAGCTCCTCTCTCAGCTGAACCCACCTCACAGGGCTGGCGTGGGGAAAAGAGGAAGAGGAAGGAGTATTAGGTATATGTCCACCACCTTGAGTTATTTGGAGAAATGATAAAAGTGAGATTGAAATAAATAATTAAAATAAATGAATAAATAAAGTCGCTCTTGTCTGGGCTACTGAGAACTCAGCCACCTCAGGTGAGATTGGAACTCTTTCAAAACTCATTGTTTTGAGAACGTCTTAAAAAGGAGGCGCTTTGGGCATTTCCGTTCTCTGCCTGCATGAAAGTGACCGGTGTGCGTCTCAATCTTCGCAATCTTAAGATGTGGGGACTTCAACTCCCAGAATTCCCCAGCCAGATCCTGTTTCATTGTATAATTGCATCTGTACTGAAGAGGGTTGGAAGTAACTTTTTTCATGTTGTTTTTGTTTGTTCGTTTTTCCTTTTGTATCTGTGTTCACGTTTTAAACTTTCCTTATGTTCCCTTCGGGTTGTAATTTTGTATTTTAATTATTTACTTTTGAAAGTTAGTAACAAAGAATTAAAAAACAACAACAGTCATTCCAAAGATTTAAGGAGCCTCTGAATGTGTGCAAAATGCATGGAGCTAATCTGGGTCTGTCAACCTCAGAATCCAACTTAACATTTCCAGAAAACACAAAAAAATGCTTCATTCAATGCGGTTAAATCTCGCTTTAACTCTCTTGCTGTGATGTCACACGAAATGACAAGCCCACTTGTGGGTCAGGCTGGCTGGAAATGATGAGGACTGCAGTCTAGGGCAAGAGCTATGAAAAAGGCATGGAGGGAAAAGTGAGTTTTGTGTGTGTGCGTGAGTGTGATATCTCAGTTGGTTCATGCTCCCTCCAAGCTAAATTGGCATTCAATTTTGAAGTAGGAGGAACAAAACAGGAATTGGAGCTAAAGGTAACCAGGATGACAGTGCCGACTGGTGGCTGACTATGGCTTTACTGCGGGTTCTCTGGCAGTCCTGCAGTCTTGAATTTTTCGTGCATTTTTTTTTTAAAAAAAAGGATAAACTAGCTTTCCAAAAGTTCCTTCTTGGGCTCAGCAGCAGCTTAGAAGATGGGCAGCTATGTAAATGCTTTAAATCAATAAATACCTGTGCCATAGTCAATGCGAGTTGAGTTGCCAACGGACTCCTTCAAATACACAGCCACCTCGGGCACGGCTTCAGCTTGCTGTTTGGGGATGACATTTGCCACCAAGGACTCTGCCCCCTAGGGTGCAGCCATAATCAAGCCATTAGAGACCCCATCGTTGCAATCCCAGCAAAAGAATAAATCAACAAGCTGAGTGGTTCCCCCTATCCAGCTATTATCATTCACAGCAGCCAACCCCAAGCAAACTACAGAGGTGTGGACTTCAGCCCCCCCCCCCGCCCCCCGCATTGCCTCTTGTGGCATCTGGCTGTGGCTAAGGATTCTGGGCAAGGGATCATGTGGCTGGCTGAGGAATTCTGGGAATTGAAGTTCACAAGTCTTAAAGTTGCCAAATTTGTCCTAAGAGAAGGTCAGCTGGCCACGAGACTGAAAATCTAGATGTATAAGCTCACGCAACAACAAATCAGATTTTTAAAAAAATATCTTTGTTTTGCACTTGAGCCCCCAAGCAAGTGGCCTTTATAGTGTCTTTTACAACTCTGGGAGTCTTTTCGGCCTAAACTGACCGGCAAAGACAAGTTTACTCCTGACCCTCTCTCCAGGGGACTCTCTCCCCTCTCACTTTCAGCTCCCCTCCAGCCTACCTGGTCCACTTTCGCATACCACATCCGGAAAGCTTTGTTCCCAAAGCGAGATGGCTGATCCACGGGAGGTGTCTCGTCGATCCACTGATCCAGCGTGTTGAGGAGCGTGACCAGCTTTTCGATGGGCTGTCGGGGAGAAAGTACTGTTTTGCCAAGTTTACCACTTTATAAGATGCTAGAGAGGCCACACGTGGAATGCTGTGGGCAATTCTGGTCACGACACACCCACACACAAAAAGATGCGGGCCCTAGCCCTCAGAGCCCAAACACACAATCAGTTTCTGAACTGTCTTCAAAAGCCCCTTTCGCTAAAGGTCTGTGGCTGCCTCGGTGTCCCCAACCTTTAGTAATATATAGATATAAGCACTCTGATTTTTCTTCCTTCAAGAAATTTATTTCCAGTTTAGGTTGCAATGGGATAATCTGCAATGTTTCCACAAACTGGCTTGGTAGCTGGATTCACATGCTCTGCCATTACCCATGAACTGCACTCAATCCCAAAGGCTAGCCTCTCCACCCTGAGAGAGGGCAAACCTGAGATTTTAGGAGACACAGAATTTCTTCCAACCACATCAGGATAAATCTTAATGTCCATCAAGATAAAAGCTTCCTAAGCACTGTGTGTTGCTTTTAATACAGATGTGCAAGACGGGGCTATTAGCTGCATTTATAAATTATAAATGCACCATTATAAATGCATAATCCTACGTTTTTGTTTTGAACCTCTCCTTTTTTTTCCTCTCTAGAGCTGGTCAGTCTGAATATTTCATAAATGGCATATTTCTGGAAGCTGAACCATCAGGAACCAGAAATTGTTCTACGTTGGATCACTTCATCACCAAATATGATACCCATTTCTAATCCAAATTTTCAATTACATTCTGAATTAGGAAATAAAGTCATCTACGTGTGAGGTGTATGCAAGTTTGATGGTCAAGCCAGATACACTGGAAGTATTTGCCCAACTTGCTTAACCAGGAAAAGACGAGAGCACTTGAAATCAGCAGGCTAAACCTGATTAACTCCAATGTGAGGCTCTTTTCAGCTTCGTGTGCTGCAGGAATTGTGGGTGCTCCATCACTGGAGATTTTAAAAAACAGACTGGAAAACCATTTGACTGGGGTGGTATAAGATTCCTGCCATGAGCAGAAGGTTGGACTAGAAGACCTCCAAGGTTTTATGTTCAACCAGAGAGCAAAACACGGCCTACCTCCGAGACTTTATATTCACAGGTCAACTTCTTCCCCTTGATTCCTTCATTCAAGGTGAGAATGAAGCCCATGTAGTCAGCGTACGCCTGTTTAAAAACACACACATTCACAGAATGTAAGGACCAGCAGTACAGGCAGTCCTCGACTTACAACAGTTCATTCAGTGACCGTTCGAAGTTAACTACAGCACCGAACACAGTTGACTATTTTTCACACTTAGGACCCTTGTAGCTCCCCCCTGGTCACGTGATCAAAATTCAGATCCTTGGCAGTCGACTCCTATTTACGACGGTTGCAGAGTCTGAGAAGCAAAATCACTGAGGAAGCCAGGTTCACTTAACAACGGTGTCACTAACTTAACAACTGCAGTGATTCACTTAGCAACTGTGGCAAGAAAGGTCACAGAACGGGGCAAAACTCACTCTGCCTCTACTGCCCGAGCCAAAGAATGCCAAGCAAAGCTTTTCACCCGTACCTGCGACCGTTTCCACTTGGCCATGTCAGGAACCATGTTGATTTCCTTCTTAGGGATCATGAACTTTCGGGATGGAGGAAGAGGCTGTGTCTCCTCAGAGACTTCTGGAAGAAGAAAAAGCAGTCAGATTGCAACAGATCTTTGAAAGGTTCAACTTCCTTCAGGGGAGGAAAATCTCTTCTGAAGGTTTTTAAATCCGTCTCTCAGTTGTGCCTGAGTGAGATGCAAGGGAAAGACAGTCAAAAGGCAATAAATGCAGGAGATTAACTGTTATCACCCGGGAGTTAAAACCCTCAGGAACCTTGCTTTTAACTGTTCCCATGATTAAATCTGCAGGCAGGCAGAGATAAACGGTGTGGGTCCAGATGAAGTCAAGTGAACTTTTGAAAATAAGCATTGCACTGCACTGAGGATAGGTTTTAGGTTTCTTAAGAAGGAGAGGAAACCCAATTAAATCACTGCAAGCCCCCAGTTTTGATAGCTCTAAAAGCATGAAGGAATGTGTACACAGGTAGTCCTCATCTTACAGCACTTCATTTAGTGACCGTTCGAAGTTACAGCGGCACTGAAAAAAGGGACTTATGGCCGTTTTTCACACTTACAAGGGTCGCAGCATGCTCACAGTCATGTGATCAAAATTTGGACGCTTGGCAACTGACTCATATTTACGACCATTGCAATGTCCCAAGGTCACGTGATCCCCCTTTGCGACCTTCTGATAAGCAAAGTTAACGGGGAAGCCTGATTCACTTAACAACCATGTCACTAACTGAACAGCTGCAGTGATTCACTTAACAAATGTGGCAAGAAAGGCTGTAAAATGGGGCAAAGCTCACTTAACAAATTTCTCACTTAACAACATAAATGTTGGGCTCCATTGTGGTTGTAAGTCGAGGACTGACTGTATTACTGGTCACAGAGTATCAAAACAGATCAAAATAGAATATAACAATACGAAACTTAATATAAGCAGTGATCAATACCAAATTAATTTAAGTAAGACTGTAATTAAGCAAAAAATGCTTCATACTTTGTCTGTATGCAACCTGAAAGGTTTGATGTGAGGAACCCCTTTTTTTTTTTTTTGCTTTTTTTGGGGGGGGATTAATGCAAGACAGCCCTCGAGATTAAACAGCACGTCTCTCTCTCCCTCAAGGCAGCCTTTAATGATTGGAGGTTTTAGAAATTTCCGCGTTAAAGCCACCAGCCGTTTGTTTGTACATGTGACACTCTTATTTGTCTTTTTAAAAGGTTTCCTGTCAATTCAAGCAACTAAGAAATCAATTAAACCGCAGAGGTTTTCCAGAAAAGAAGGTTTTTACGCTTCAGAGGGGTCCCAGCTCTGAAGAGTTATGCTTGGAAGTAGATTTCATAAATAGGGAGGCCAAAAACTGCCCCAGCTGAGATACCCACAATTTTAGTTCAAGGGCAGGACAGCTGATTTGCTGCCAATTTATTCTTATCCCAAAAACTGACATGTTGGGAAGAAACTAGAAAAATAACTCAAGGAGATAAAAATTCAAACCTCTTGGCCCCCTTACCCTCCATCATCCCAAAACACAGTTCAAAATGTAGTCACTTGGCAACTGGCATGTATTTATGACTGTTGCATGGTCCCGGGGCCATGTGACCACCGTTTGTAATCTTCCCCATCCGTCAATTGCAAAAGGCAGCTTTACTCAAAATAGCTGACATCCTGGGATGAGACCTATAACACTATAAAACATTAACAGCTAACCATCCCAGGTTGTTAGGAAGGATTCAATAGGTGGACAAAACATCCAAATCCTGAGTGAGCATCTGGCTGACTATGCAACAATCCACAAGCAACTGTCACACAACACCCCAGACTTCACCCCTGTTGATAAGAAAGATGGTACCTGGAGACAGAAAGAAGATAACCAAACCCAAAGATTGGCAAATAGAAATAGAACGACTGTGGCAAAAGAAAGCAAAGGCAGGACCAATAAACACCTTTGGTACAATCCCAAAACAACTGAATCACTACTTGAACACCACAAGCACTGATAAAATCCTCATCAGTCAATTGCTAAAGGCAGCTTGATTTATAACAGTTTACATCCTGCACTATAACGCCATCAAACAGCATCTGTCTATTTTAAGTCCTTTGGAAGGATTCCATAGGTGGACAAAAATGCCAGATCTAGTCTGAACATCTGGCTGTGTGAAGAGCCATAATTTATTATTTGAAAAGCCGAATCCCATCGGCATTGACAAATTCACCCTTGCTCAATTGCAAAAAGCAGCTTTGCTGGGACCAGCTGACATTCTGCAATGATATCTGCAACACCATCAGACATCCTCATCTGTCTAATCCAGTTGCTTACTAATAGGTGAATAAAATGGCAAATCCAGTCTGAACATCTGGCTGACTGTGCAACAAAACATAATAATGTATTATTTGGACATTTGACTACTATCAGCATTGACCAAATCCCTGTCAATTAATTGCAAAAGGCAGCTTTGCTTCGAATAGCTTACAGATAGTCCTCCAATTACAACAGCTCATTTAGTGACCAAAATTACGACAACACTGAAAAAAATGACAATTTTTCACACTTATAACCACTGCAGCACCCCCATGATCATGGGGATTGAAATTCAAATGCTTGGTAACTGACTCATATTTATGACGGTCGCATTGTCCCCTTTTGTGACCTTCTGACAAGCAAAGTCAACGGGGGAGCCGGATTCACTTAACAACCGAGTTACTAACTTAACAAATGTAGTGGTACACTTAGCAACCATGGCAAGAAAAGTTTGTAAAACGGGGCAAAACTCACTTAACAAATGTCTCCCTTAGCAACAGAAAATTTGGGGCTCAGTTTTGGTCATAAGTAAAGGACTCCCTGTTACTGTAACACCTTCAAACATCCACATCTGATTAGTAAGGGTAGATGGGTGAATAAAACGCCAAAACCAGTCTGAACATCTGGCTGAGTGTACCAGCAACCCTAATTCCCAGCCTGGTTATTATGGGATGAGCCCTTCCAGGCCTGAGCCTCGCCCCTCCCCACAGAAGAAGCAAAGGCCCCCCGAGATAAGACCCCCATGTTATTTTTCTCAAGGGGGTGTTTTCTCCTCCCTCAGAGGAGCAAAAGACCCCCGGAGATCCCCTGGCGCACGCGGGAGAGCGTTACGACGACCCTGCGAGGTAGGCCGTTCTTCCTCTTGGAGGGGAGGCGGAGTCGCCTTCCCCCGCTCTGCCCCGCCGGGGGGCAAGTTCTTCTCGGGGCTGGCCCTTACCCGGCTGCCGCTCGCTCTCGGCCATCTTCTCGGGACTGAGGAGAAACCGCCGCCGCCGCCGCCGCCTTTCAACCCTCACAACCTGACGGCCCTGAGGAACCGCCAACCCGTCATCTTGGAAAAGGGCAACGCCGGCGGCGGCGAATAGGAAAGCGCGAAGAGGAAGCCGGCGCGGCCATGTTTGTCAAGGGCACGCCATCTGTGGCCAGGGCGTCAGCGGACGACGTTCCTTCGGCCATGTCGGCGAAGGGCAACGAAGCCAACAAAGGGAGAAAAGGCCGACGGGCCACAGTTGCTACTCTATACATACAGCACTGTATCGCGCGCGTGCATGACGTCACCACGTGCGCCTGTCTAGGGCGGCGGGAAAATTAAGACGTTACACTTGTTTGGCCTCTAGAGGGCGCTCCAATGACGCTGATCTATATATATATATATCATATTTATTATTTTATTATATTACAATACATTGCAATACATTACAATACGTTACAATACATTAAAGCATAGCATAATATTATACTGCACTATACTGTATATTGTATTCTATTCTATTATACATTACATCATACCATAACAAATTATACTATGCTATATTATTCTATTTATTTTAAATTGTATCATATTTATTGTACGATTGTTGAATTTGTAAGCCACCCAATCATCAGTTGAGACGGGTACGACGGAAATTCAATAAACAAACAAATAATTTCCTTTTTATGGATTTATTCCTTAGCCTTGGCTTTGGCTTTTTCTCCAAGAACACATTTTAAAAAATTGTGTCACCACTATGTCCATGCTGTTCTAATCCCAAACTAAAATAAATTTGACTTTTGATTTGTTCCTATTCCTTCGTTCGGCACAGAGCCCAGATCAGGAAGACTGGGGCACTTAGCAAATGTCCACTTAGCATAAAGTTGAGCTGTCAAAATGTTCAGAATTGCTTTGGGCACAATGTTTAGAATGCATAAACCGCCCTTCATTAATATACAAAGACAATATACATCGCCATTGCAGGAATAAATGGTCAGGGTTTGTCTCAATTCCCTCTTTAAATTGTTTATGCCCTGGGGTTGATTCCGTCTGGAATGGCCAGGCTTTGGTTAAGGAATGAGTCATATGGATTCTTTCAAGGGTGCGGACTTTGGCAACTGGCAAAATAGACTTGAGGACAATGGCTCGGGCGTTTTTTATCTTTGACCCACAAAAGAGCTGCCTTCCTTTGCTCTTAACTAATCTGATGCACTTCTAAACTTTCAGAAGCCAAACTTCAAAGGTTTCTAAGCACCACTTTGATCTTCCGGAGATCTCCTAGTGGTCTCCCATCCACACCCTAATCTTGCTTCCAATCCCTTTGCATTGCGGGCGGGCGGGGGGATGTTGCCCTTCCCAAGCATGGCGATACCTCCCAGCCCGGGGGGCGGGCATGCCCGGGCCAAAGATGGTTGCGTCTGGGACTCCGCCCCCCCCACTCCCCCCAGCAGCTGCAAATTCTTGTTGCAGCAGCCGCGGGCGGGGTCGAGAGCCTCCAGGTTGCGCCGGAGCGCGGCTGCCCTTGCGGACTTCGCTCGGTGGGCAGGGCGTTGCGCGGGTTTGGCAAAAGCCCCGATCTCCGCCGGCGCAATGCTCGCCTTCCTAGGCAGGAACATGGTGAGTCTTTTGCAAGGCTGCGCGGGCGCCCGGTTGGAGAACCGCAGGTTGGCCGGGGGATCCTGAGTGGGCGCTGCTGCTGCTGCGCGGGTCGGGTGGGGATCGCGGGCAGGGAGGCCCCTCCGCCTCCTTCCTTCTTTTGCAAACTGATGGGTCTCTGTTGACTTTCGCTTTTGCGTTTGGGATTGTCCAGCAAGGAAAATAAAATTGTGTTGTGTTTTTTGTGTTTGTCCTGCTTGGCATCTCTCTTTTGGTTGCAATGCAGCCGGGTCCTTTTGGATCCTGGCCTTTTTTGGGGGGGGGAGGGAAGGACAAGGGGGGGGGGTCCGTGAGCCTTTGGGTGGGACGGAATATTCTCCTTTGCAAAAGGACAGGCATTGACTTGTCCACTCAGAAAGAGGAGATTTTTAATTCCACCCCCTTTAAATAAAGAGGGAAAGGTCTCACTTTTTGGCTGTTTCCGACAGGGTTTTGTTTTTTTGTTTTTGTTGTTGTTGTTCCAGTTGTGGATCCCAGGAATAAGAAACAAATGGACAAAATAGTTGCTTTTTATTCTGCAAGAAATAACAAAAAGAAATCGCGACAGAAACAAACAGGATCACTATTTTGGCACCGGTTTGGGAACAAGTACTTTCGTTTAGTGAAGGGGAAGCAAAAATTGAAAGAAGAATTCTGTTTTACAGTTAGTCCTAAAACAGCCGGTCTAATTCAATGTTTTTGGCATGGATTCCCTTGCAAAATAAATATTTCAATTTAGTTATGTGCTAAATCCAGTTTTGGCTGTGCTCTATCTACCCGTGAAAGTAAATGCCATTGACCTCTGAAAGTTTGCACTGGCTGGCCTTCCTTTCTCCCTTCAATAATTAGCTTCCTCCTTCCACTAGACAGAGTCAGTATTGGTACCGTTCCGCTCAAAGCTACAATAATTTTATTAGCACTAGTGTAACCGACGCCTTGCAGAGATGATAGTCCTCGGTTTACGGCAGCAACAGGGGCCGTGACATTCATCGCTAACCAGTGCAGTCATTAACCGAGGCACCGCATGACTGCAGCTGATTTTACAGTCTTTCTTGCCATGGTCATTAAGCAAATCGCTGCATTTCTCCTCAGCACCATGGCCAGTTGTAAGTCAAGGCTTGACTTTGCTGGTCGGGTTGCAAAAGGGGATCACGTGTCCTCGGGACACTGCAACAGTAGTGAGAACATGCCAGTTGCCAAGCATCCAAATTTTTATCACGTAACCGGGGGGGGGGGGATGCTGCAATGGTCGTAAATGTGAAAAACGGTCGTCACTTTTTTTTCAATGCCTCAATCTGGCACTAAATGAACGGTTGTAAGTCAAGCATTGCCTGTGGAAGTAATCTTGTTCGGTTTAATGTTTGTTTAGCTAAAGTGGTTGCGTTTACACAATCCCCGTTGACAGGGCCGGGTTCCAGGAAAACTTTTGCAATAGTAATTTTGCTAATTAGACTTTGGAGAAACAGGAGATGCTAAGCGTCCCAGCCTGAATTAATGAGTGGTGTGCCTTAAGGACGATGCTGAAACTGGGATTCCTGGCTCCTGAAAACTCTCTTCCCGGCTATGGATTTAGTTTCAGGCATTTTTAGTGCCATGCAGGATGACTCCGGTCGATTTCAACCCCGAATGGTGAGAGCTGCTGGGCATCAAAGCCGTGAGATGGCGATTTTGGGAGCCAGGCAGCCAACTGGCACGGTTGCCTGCCCTGAGCAGAGGGTCAGACTGGAGGTCCTCGGGGGGACCCTTCCTCCTTTGATAGAGACTCGCTCTCTATCAGAGGAGATTATTTCTTGCACGGACAAGCAAGGAAGCTGCAGAGCGAGTTGGTGAAAGAAGCACAGCGCAAAATTAACAGAAAAACAGCAGAGGAATCACACGCCCAGAGGCTGAACTTTTTTCCCACCGTTTCGAAAATCGTTTGGAAACTGCTGGAAAAAAACCCGCAAAGTTGTTCACTGCGTCAGGTTGGCAAATAGAAACGGGTTGAACCCTGCTTTCAAAAATTGCACCTTGAACTGGAGAGACATCGTAGGAGCAAAACTGGTTGGGCCTGTAGTGGCAAAAAAAAAAAAAAAAAAAAACAACGAACAGATTTCCCCCCCTCCCAATTAAACTAATTTTATTACATTTTGTGAGGTGCAGCTGGCTTCAAACAGTGGCACAGAGTGGCTAAGATAGGATTTAAAATGGGGTAGTTTTTAATCTTGTTAAAATTAACCTGTTCAATCTGTTAACAGTTAAACCTATATAATTTTAATTGTTTTATTCTTTTTTTCTATTTGCCTTTTTTTATAAGCCGTAAGCCGCCCAGCTTCACCTTAATAGGGGAGATGGGCGGCACAAACATTTAGTAAATAATCAATAAATCAAAATGCAATAGAATACAAGCCTTGTATTGTAATAACATTTGTTAATTAGCAAAGAGGCTACCAAGTTCCTGATTTTGAGCTTGTCGGTCATGTAATTTACTTCCTCAGATGCCTGGGAAGGCTTTGTGTGTGCTTGTGTGATTAGTCAAATTACATAACAGGGCTGCTTTGTTGCCAATTTTATTACTACAGGTAGTTCTTGACTTATGACTACAATTGGGATGGGAGCTTTTGGCACTAAGCAAGATGGCTGTTAATTGAATTGTGTAGCGGTTGTTAAGCAAATCCAGTGTCCCCCATTGACTTTGCGTGTCGGAAGCCAGCTGGGAAGGTCGCAAACGGCAACCGCCTGACACCGGGATGCTGCAACTGTTGTAAATGGATGCTGGTTGGCAAGCACCCAAATTCTGATCACGTGATCACGGAGAGATTGCACTTGTCATAAATGCGAGGACTAGCACTGTTGTCATTTCAAACCATTGCTAAACAAATGGCTGTAAGTCAAGGACTATCTAAAAGCAGGAGCATCAGCTTTGTTAGGGAATTGTAGCCATATAAATGTATTTTTAGAGCATCTATAAATAAATTACGGTGGATATTGATTGCATTGCTTTTCTCTAATTGCAACTGTGGTTTAATTTTGCTTGTTAATTTTAGTTGGGATTAGGCAGTGACCCCCGTTAGAGAGGGTGCCTTAAAAACAAAACATTCATGCATGTCTTTTAGTTGGCTTTCTGCAGGCTTTGGCTGATCAATTACCAAAGTAAATAATTAGCATTATATAAGCCTCAAACCGGAATTACTGTTATATCAAGAAATCCTTTAAAGGTTGGCTTGTTTTGTTAGGGGATTATTTGGGGGCGTTTAGATATGTGGCATAAAGAACAGAGAGAATTATTTTGATGAGATACAAACCAAACATTTTGGGTTTCATCAGCTGGTCAGTCCATTTGTGTTTTGAAAGGTGAGCAAGTAACCTTTCTTACTTCCCTGCCTGCTTTTCAGAATCCAGATTGGAGGCTGGCATCGTCTCCCTCAGCCCTCATGCTGCTCAGGGCGTGAAGCCCAAAGCATCACGTGTCACGTGATACGGGAAATGTGAAATACCAGAGAGAGAATTTTAGCACCAAAATGATCCTGTTGTTTCTGAATTCTTGTTTGCATTTATACAAGTGCTGACCACCTTCGGTATTTTCACCCTGCTCACCTTACTGCTGAGCATGCTTTTGGCAGCACGTCGTCAAACTATTTCATTGACAGGTTAGGAAATGTTGGGTGTATTAAAGGAACAAACCAAAACACAACCTGAAATGAAAGACAAGGGGGGAAAAAAGGCAAAAAGAAACCAAGAAGAAACCAGACCACAAATAAGAAAAAAAATATATAGACGTCTGTCTTCCATACCTTCCTTCCTTGTTCCAGGCAAAGCCGTCCAGCTGGTTGAAGCCGGTGGCGTTAAGGAAGCTGCGAGGTCGCTATCTGACCCATCAGGAGGGCCTGCCCCATCTGCCCGTCCCTCCCCTGCAGCAGACTTTGGATCGTTACCTGCTAATGCTGGAGCCCATCATTAGTGAGGAGGAACTCAGCCACACCAAAGATTTGGTGCAGGATTTTCGGAAACCGGGCGGCGTCGGAGAGCGGTTACAGAAAGGGCTGGAGAGAAGAGCGCGGAAGAACGAGAATTGGGTAGGTGGGCCCCCAAGCCCTGGGGGGAAAGTGTGTTGGGTTCTAGAGATCTGTCTATGGAGATGCTCAGTCATCCAGGTCAAGGTTGCCCCAAAGGTGCTTTTCAAGAAGCAAGTGGACTTTCTTGGTTTTGCCTTGAAGATGTTTCGCTTCTCATCTTCAGCTCAAAGCTGAAGAAGCTTCTTGGATGAGAAGCGAAACGTCTTCAAGGCAAAACAAGAACGGAAAAGCATCTTGGGGGTTTTAGAGATCCTTTCTAATCAGTAACTATGAGAGGGACCTTGAGATCCTAGTGGACAGTCACTTAAATATGAGCCAGCCGTCTGCGGCGGCAGCCAAAAAAGCCAACACAATCCTAGTCTGCATTGACAGAAGGATAGGATCAAGATCATGTGAAATTCTAGCACTGCTTTATAAAACCTTAGTAAGACCACCAAGCTCAGAGAGCACCAAGGACCACACAGTCCTCCTCCTCTCCTGGCACTCCACTCCCTTCTAATACGAATGATGTTACCTAGTTGGGTCATGAAACGCCTGCAAGCAAACCCACAGAGAACACCCAGGGCCCCTCAGGTCAACCCTGAGCTATTCTAGCAATATGTAGATGCACCACTTATTGCATTCTCTCCCTTCTCAACCGAGCTTTCAGATTGGTGGCTGAAAACAGCGTATCTGGAGTATCGGCTTCCAGTGGTCATCCATTCCAGCCCTGGCGTGGTGCTGCCCAAACAGGATTTCCTGGATCGGCAAGGCCAACTAAGGTGAGCCTCCTTAGTTTTGTGGTTGAACCTCATTGCTGCAAAAGTCCATTTGTAGAGGTGAAAAGTGTAGTTTTTCAAGCAGGAGGTGGCTCCTTCCCTCCGAGGTAAGGTTGGTCCCCACCTTGTTACTTTTTCGGAAGGCCCCGTAACTTTTGCTTGTAGAACCCAGGGCATTTAGAATCCAGTTCTTCCAGAGCAGAAGGTAACCTCCGTGTAGTATGTATTTTGGATGCCGCTCGTTTGCAAATCATCTAAGTGCTGCTAGTATTTTTATCTTTCCTCTGTGGGCTGCCCCCGATTGAGAATGCAAAAAAAAAAAAAAGGGGGTGAGGGGGGATATTTGATCTTTGCAGAAGGGGGGAGTCACCTTTCCCTCACTAGCCCACCAGCCCCCTTTCACCTTTCCTCTCCTTCTGGGCTGCATTTAAAAATACCAGCCAATGCAAGGAAAGAGCGAGCGAGCGGTGAGGGCATCAGAAAGGAATTCTCCTTCTCCTGCAGCGTCCTTCCCTTCCCTGATAGGCCCGGCTCCATCTGCAACAGGGATGGATGCACACACACACACACACACACACTGCCTAGCAGGGCCCCCTCCCACAGCAAAAGGTCACCCAGTCTGCGGGGTGCCGCTTGGGCATGGCTAGAAAAAAACTGAAGGCGTTTATTTCCAAACAGACAAGCATTTTTCGGGGCAAAGGAGGTCAGTGTGTGGAATGAAGCCAGGTCCCCCCTCCAGCCTTTAATCCTTGACTGGGGTTGATGGGACTTGTAGTCTGAGAGATCCAGAGGTGTCATGTCGAAAAATCTGGAAAAATATTTGGATACCATAGGGATGGATAAAATCTTAATTCACAAGTTGGAATCCTGTCTATGTCACGCACACACACAAAAAATTACATGGCTTGGAATAGCTCATCTGTTGCAAAAATATCTGGATCCTTGGGGGGGGGGGAAATCTAGTGGTCCAAAGTTCCAAAACTGCACGCAGACTGTGTTTAAATAAGAGAATAACAGAGTTGGAAGGGACCTTGGAGGTCTTCTAGTCCAACCCCCTGCTCAAGCAGGAGACTCTATACAATTCCGGACAAATCCAATCTTTTCTTGAAAACCTCCAGTGTTGGAGCACCCACGGCTACCGGAGGCAAGCTGTTCCGAAACGCATTTATTCCTGTTGACCTCTGCGGAGATTTGAGCCAAGCAGCCCCTGCTCCATTTGGCAGAGAGTTTCAGGCTGCTGTCACATTGGACAGCTGACCTTGGTGGCTTCCTCCACCGCAGCCTGAAACCAGAGAGCCCCTCGCCTCCCACCTTCCCTCCTGACCTCTTTGCTTGTGACTCCTTCAGGTTTGCGGCCAAGATGATCGAGGGGGCTCTGGACTTCAAGACGATGGTTGACAAGTGAGTTGGAAGGCCTTGTTCGATCTCCGAGGGGCTTAACGTCCTTTGCGTTCATTCCATGCCAAGACAGATCATTAAATGGGGCAAAACTCACTTAGCGGCAGAAACTTTGGGCTCGGTTGTGATCGTAAGTTGAGGACTGCCGAGAGTTGCTCTGATATCCCTGTAGACCTTGCAGCTAATAGGACACGAAGGACGTCTTCCACTCCCCCATTGCCACATGTATGTGTGAGCTCAGCTACTGGAACGTTTATCCTCCCTGTCCTGCCGATTGTCTCGCCTGCAGCTCTTCCTCCTGTCTGCCTAGGCCATTCCCACAGACTCTTAACACCTGGGGAAGAGTCCAGTTTAATCAAAGAACGAAGCATATTGTTTCCTCTTCCGTGCTTTTCCCCACCCTCTGTAGCTGCCCCAAGCAAACATTTTTCAAAAGCCGTTTCCAAATTCCAGATGTTTGTAGCCTCGACACGATGGTCAGCCATGTCTTGCTAGACACCGTGCTTTCTGCTATTCTTTCACCTTTTTTTTCTCCAGCGAAACGCTACCTGTGGAATATCTTGGCGGGAAGCCTCTTTGCATGAACCAGTACTACCAGATCCTCTCGTCCTGCCGCATCCCGGGCCCCAAACGTGATTCAGTGGTGAACTACGCCCAGGGGAAGAAATCGCCCACCCACATCACCGTGGTTCACAACTTTCAGGTGGGCAGGTGACCCTTTGAACTGGGTTCTTTTCTTGCAGGCGTTTCATGACCCAACTAGGTAACATCATCAGTTCTCCTTTTTTCCCAGTTCTTTCAGCTGGATGTTTACAGCAGCGACGGGAGCCCCTTGACCACCGATCAGATTTTTATCCAGCTGGAGAAGATTTGGAATACATCCCTTCAAACCAACAAGGAGCCCATCGGGATTTTGACAAGCAACCATCGCAACAGTTGGGCCAAAGCCTACAACAATCTCATCAAAGGTGAACACCCACCCCTTACTCCCGGGGAGACCCCAGATGGGTTACCATCAATTGCTTGTCATGAACCATTGAGGGAACTGGGTATGTCTAGTCTAATGAAAAAATGGACTGGGGGTGACATGATAGCAGTCCTCCAACATTTGAGGGGCTGCCACAAAGAAGAGGGAGTCAAGCTATTCTCCAAAGCCCCTGAAGGCAGAATAAGTAGGAATGGATGGAAATTAATCCAGGAGACATCCAACCTAGAGGTAAGGAGAAATTTCTTGACAGTTCAAACAATAAACCAGGGGTCTTCAAACTTGGCCCAGCGTACCTGGCTGAGGAATTCTGGGAGCTGAAGTCCACAAGTCATAAAAGGGCCAAGTTTGAAGACCCCTGCAATAAACTGGATCGGCTTGCGTCCAGAAGTTGTAGTTGCTCCATCACTGGAGGTTCTTAAGAAGAGATTGGATAGCCATTGGTCCAGGATGGTATAGAGTCTTCTGCTTGAGCAAGGGCTGGACTAGAAGACCACCAGGTCCCTTTCAACCCTTATTATTCTATGTTCTGTTTAGGAGAATTAAAGAGAATTTTCTGAATTTGTGGATGCTCCATTATAGGACAATCCTTTGACTGAGATAGTATAGGGTCTTCTGCTTGAACACGGGGTTGGACTACAAGACCTCCAAGGTCCCTTCCAACACTGTTGTTCTGTGTGTGTGGGTGTCTTCCCGGCTGACGGAGCGTTTCCTTCCTTTCTAGACAAGACGAACAAGGAATCTGTGCGCACAATTGAAAAGAGCATCTTCACTGTCTGCTTGGATGCCCCAATTCCTCGGGTCTCAGACGACGTTTATAAGAGCCGAGTGGCTGCCCAGATGTTGCACGGAGGAGGGAGTCGTTGGAATAGTGGAAACCGCTGGTTTGACAAAACCCTCCAGGTAACTCAGCAAGGGTACACCTGCCGCACCTTGTCTAAAACTCTGGCATGAGTTGCGAGGTTTCTGTGCAGACATGGGGAAATTGTGGGTGCTCCATCACTGGAGGTTTTCAAGAAGAGGCTGGACAGGCATTTGTCTGGAATGGTGTGGGGCAGGGGTCCCCAACCTTGCCACTTTATGACTTGTGGACTTCAACTCCCATGCTGTCTGAAGAATTCTGGGAGTTGAAGTCCACAAGTCATAAAGTGGCCACGGTTGGGGACCTTTGGAGTAGGGTCTCCAGCTTGAGTCCTAGGATTCTATGATTGTAAAAAAGAGTAAAATATCAAGAAAGAAAGAAAAGTCGTGTATTGCAGTCACAGAGCCAACAAACCACGATTCCTTATTTGGGCATCTGTGCCCAATTTCATCTGGATTTTTCCTTGCAGTTTATCGTGGCGGAAGATGGATCCTGCGGATTGATGTACGAACACGCTCCGTCAGAGGGCCCCCCCATTGTGGCTCTACTGGATCACATTGTGGAGTACACGTAAGGCAGCTTGGCTTTGAGATAGCTTTTTTTTTTTTCTCCTGCTTTCTGGCAACCGATCCAGGATGGTCTTCGTATAAGCCAGCATGTCTTTGTTGGGCGATATTCTCTCTTCAGTAAATACTTCTTTGTCTTTTCAACACGTTTCTAGTTTAAAAATCAGGGGGTCCCTGATTCTCTTTCTTTAAAAAATCCATTTTTCCCCCTGTGTTTCAATTATATCCTTGCTGCTTTTGGTAGAAAGAAGCCAGAGCTTGTAAGGTCCCCCATGATCCCATTACCGATGCCAAAGAAATTACGGTTTAATATCACCCCGGAAATCAAGAAAGATATTGAAAACGCCAAACAGAATCTCAACATGTGAGTAATTCAGTTGTGGACGTAAGTTGTAAAGGATCCTTAAGAAGCCCTTGTGTGACCCGTTTTCTGTCCTTTTTCTGCAGCATGGTGCAAGATTTGGATATCAAAGTCATCGTATTCCACCAGTTTGGGAAAAATTTCCCCAAGTCAGAGAAGATCAGTCCGGATGCTTTTATTCAAATCGCTTTGCAGTTGGCTTATTACAGGTAACTAGGGAGCTGGGTTCGGTTTTCCCAGGTCTGGTGATCTGAATGGCTTGGATGGATTTATTATGTTATAGAATAACCAGGCTAGAAGGGACCTTGGAGGTCTTCTAGTCCCACCCCCTGCTCAGGTAGGAAGCACTATACTGTTCTAGACAAATGACTGTCCAATCTCTTCATAAAAGCCTCCAGTGATGGTGCACCCACAACTTCTGGAGGCAACTTCCATTCCACTGGTTAACTGTTATCAGTCAGGAAATTTCTTACTTCTAGATTGCTTTTCTCCTTGATTAATTTCCATCCATTGCTTCTTGTCCTGCCCTCCTCCTCCTCCTCCTCCTCCTCTTCCCATCTGCTGGCAGTGGTGGATTTCCTTGAACAGCTGGTGAGCCACTGTAAGAACACATCCAAGTCTAATCCAGCAGGGCCCTCCTTATATTCTTAACCAACTGCCCAAGAGAAGCCACCAATCTCCCAGCAGGTGTCTTCAGAGGTGGCCCAACTGCCCTCAAGGCCAAGAATCCTGGATCCCTGGCCCATTCCATAAATTGCTCCTTCCCTTTTCGGAAGCCAGTTTTAAGTTAGGGTGGGGGAGGCGTACATTTCACATTCCCCATGTTTGCTTTTGTTTCTTGTGGCGTTTTTAGAATGTATGGGGAGCTTTGCTCCACTTACGAGAGCGCCTCGCTTCGCATGTTCCGTCTCGGGCGGACGGACACCATTCGCTCGACCTCCGTGGATGCGCTGAAGTTTGTCCAGTCCATGACTGCGGACAACATACAGGTAGGCTACTCAGCGTCCATGTGTTTATCCGTCACGCCTGTTTTCTGGAATCCTTGAAGTTCACCATCTTTCTGAGGTTCTTAGAAGCGCCTGATGGTTGCGTTTTGCGGCTGTTTCTTCCTTAGGATCAGGAGAAGGCAGAATTGTTGAGACGAGCCACCCAAGCACACCGAAGCTATACGGACATGGTGGGTATTATTATTATACATTGGGCACTGATGACGTGACCTAGTGGTGATAATGAAACATCTGCAAGAAAACTCCCAAGCTCAGAGAGCACCAAGGGACCCCTCCCTTGCCCTCACAGTCCCTTTCAGTGGCAAACCTCTGAGCAGCGACGTTGTTCCCTTGCGGGTTCCTCTCTCTCTTTCCCGTAGGCCATAAGGGGAAATGCGATTGATCGTCATCTTTTGGGCCTGAAGCTTCAAGCGATCGAGGATCTGGTGAGCATTCCTGAACTCTTCATGGACACCGCTTACGCTGTGGCCATGCACTTCAACCTCTCCACCAGCCAGGTGAGCTGGCATTGCCATGGATTGGGCCCTTGGGGGTTGGGTCCTTTAGTGTTATTGGACGCTCATGCATGGCCTCCAAGCCGTCCCTCGTGGTGGATTTTTGCAAGTTTGCAGATGGTCCTTGTCTTATGACCATAGTGGAGCTTGGCCATCAAGGTTTTAAGTGGTGATGGTCATACATGGGGTCACCAGTTTGAGGGGGTGGGAGAAAAGCCAGAATGGGAGGACCCCCCAGTTTAAATCATCCATGTTTATTTAATTTACTTTTAATTTTGTATCCTGCCTTTATTATTTTTACAAATAACTTGAGGCAGCAGACCTATCCAACACCCCTTCCTCCTCCCATTTTCCCACTACAACAGCCCTGTGCAGTGGGTTGGGCTTTGAGAGAGGGATTGACCCAAAGTTACTCAGCCGGCTTTCATGCCCAAGGTGGAAGTAGAACTTGCCATCTTCTGGCAATTGGCCCAAGATCATCCAGTTGACTTTCATGCCCAAGTTGGGACTAGAACTCACCATCTCCTGGTTTCTAGCCCAGTACCTTTATCCACTAGACCAAATTATCCTCCCGGCAGGTTCCCGCCAAGACAGACTGTGTGATGTGTTTTGGCCCAGTGGTGCCAGACGGCTACGGCGTTTGCTACAACCCCATGGAGGAGCACATCAACTTTGCCATCTCGGCCTTCAACAGCTGCAGTGAAACCAACGCTGCCCGGCTGGCCCATTACTTGGAACAAGCCTTGCTGGACATGCGGCTTCTGCTCCAGTCCACTCCCAAGTCCAAACTTTAAGAGGGGAAGCCCTGGAGAGGTGAACTGCCTGCTCAACTTACTGTCATCTGGGTGGGCTTCATCCTGACCCTGGACTCCCCTGAAGGACAGAAGACTTTTCGTTGTGGCGCTGAGTTTGCGGGACGGAAATGAACTCCACCAGTCCTCTCCCTGCTCACCTTTCCTCCGTTCACCTCAGTCTGTGCCTTAGAGTGGTTTCGCAGGGAAAATGGGGAGGGGGGCTCCTGAATTCAAGGGAATCTTGGTTGGATGCTGGGTTGAAAGAGAAGGTCTTGGCTCAAAGCCTCCTGAGAATTTTAGCCCGGGATTTTGCACGTTTGTTCTCCATGTGAATAGACAAGTTGGTTTCATAGCATCCATCAGTATGATGGGTTTCACGGTAGAGCCAGTTTATCATCTGATGATAAAGATTGCTTTCTCCTTCCCTTTTCTTCTTCCTCCCGTTCCCCTTCTCCATCATCATCATCCTTTCTCATTGTCCTTCTCCATCTCGTCCTCCTCCTGGACCAACGGCGGATTCTTTGATCTTACAAAATTGGCTCAGAGAGTTGTCCTGCCAGAGTTGATACCATACTAAGGAGCATTTGAAAATGCCAACATTGTCTAGGATTTTCTGTGCCAATAGATATTATTTCATTAAATGATAAGTCTTTTGTTTTTTTAAAAAGTATATATATTTGTTGGGAGATTAGCCCCCGATTTCTTTCTGTTTTTTAGCTTCCTTTGCTGATTGGCTATTGCTGGCTAGGATTCTGGCTACCCAAACCAGGATAACTATTTTAAGTCGCAAGATGTAAACGTAAGACCGACAGTTGTGGCACGGCAAAAAGCCAATCTTCATGCCCGCATTTTGAATAGTAAAATGTTTTAAGTTTCTAAGATGGGGAAAAACCAAGATACAGCTTTTCTTTTTCTTTCTTTCTTTTCCTTTCCTCTTCCTTGTTTCTCCTTCCTTCCTTCCTGTGCTACCAACACAGCTCAGTGGCCAACGTGTTGTAAGAGAATTCATAGAGTGCCAAATTAGATTTGGGTGATGAGTTCCTTCCAGAAGGATGAGGGAAATTCTCCCCACAGGTAGCATTTGCCACAATATTCATGAGATCCGGCGACTTGATGGAAGCGCGTCAGCCGAAACTGTTCAGTCACAGAAGTGCCTTATATTGCCTGCTCCCAGGGATAAAATGTAAAGTGGTTTACAAATTGTAAGTTGATATGTTAGCTTTAAAGTTTTTAACGTGCTGTACATTGAAAGGCAAATGTGGTGGGTAATTTTAAATAGAGCGTTTAGAGCAGGGTTTCTCAACCTTAGCAGCTAATAAGATTCTGGGAATTGAAGTCCACCTATCTTACAGCTGCTAAGATTGAGAAACACTGCTTTAAAATGTTTTTATATATATATAAATATGTAAAAGTAATGAGAATTAGGGACAGGACAAGGACAGTTCACGCTTTGTGCCACATTCATACAACATGCTAAGCTTGCCAGGTTCAACCTTGTTCTGAGTATTTGCAACCGTTCCCGTTGTCTGAATTCAACCTTCAGGTTCCTTTTTGCTTTTTGGCGTTCCCGCGCTCAGAATATGGGTTGATTTGGGCACCCCTTAAATAGAGAGATTCCCAGGAGTCCCAAATATGATGCCAGCTAAGAATTCTGGGAATTTAAAAAAAAAAATACTCCTCACAATTCTATGGAAGCTGATCAGCTAGTTTTAAGGTCTTAAAGCAGCCAAAATGTTGCCTGTCCTAATGTTCTCCTAACACAACAGAGATTTTGCACTGTTTAGTGAAGAATTGCCAAATTCTTGCTTGTTTGGTTTTTTAGCACTTTGGCCCAATGCTTGTGTGATTGGGCTGTAAATTGTATTACATGGATTTTTGGCAAAATGTCTTGTTCTGAAAGACGCAGAGAAATGGAGCTATATAATAAATATAAATATATCCTAATTAAAAGATGGGAAAAGAACGCCGTTCAGATCTTTCTTTCCTGAGTGAATGCACAGATTCCCCTCCTGATTTATAACAGCCCATGATATGATCTCCCCAATCAAGGCTTGCAATAGTGCCCATTCTGTCCCATTAGCTGGAGGAAGCACACTTTCCCAGGCGGAACGCGACCATAAAAACACGTTTATTGAGTATTTAAAAGTTTTGAAGGGGTGGCGGGGGGAATCATTTTAAACTAGCCTTTCGCGAGATGCATTTTAATTCCACTGTACTACAATCCCCATCGCTCGCCACCGAACACGGGGGTGTTCCCGTTGGTGGGCCTTCCTCAAGCCAGCAAAACCGAGTTTGGGATTAACTCTGGATCGGAGGAATGGAGAGAAAGGGAAAGAAAGGAGTTACAGTCATGGGAATCGGCACTCAGAAAGAACCCCCATTTAAGTAATCTCAGTACCAGGGTCTGATTAAAAAGAAAAAAAGCATTGTGGATTTTTTTTTATTATTATTATTTTTTGCTGCTGCTGTATTGATCAGCACATGCAGATCCTTTAATTAAGGTTGTCGGGTTGCTTTAGTGTGTAGAAAAAGCACTTTTATGCACAGCAATCTGCAGACCGCTTAAGCCAAGAGGTCCAATCTTGGAGACTTTAAGACCTGTGGACTTCAACTCCCAGAATTCCCCAGCCACCAAGGCTGGACACCCCTGGCTTAAACAAAATGCAGAATTCCCTTTCTCTCTTAACTTTTTATTAATTTTGCCCCCAACTCTTTTTTAGTGGCAGTGAGCTGGCTGCTGCCCCCCGAAAACCAGCCTCAAACCGGCCTCCGCCGTTCCCCTTCAGCAAACTAGACAACCCAGGATTATATAAATAGTGTGTGGATTGCATGCTGCAAATTGATTTTTTTTTTGTTCGTTAAAAAAAGAAATTCAATAGAAAAGTTACAGAGCTGTATCGGGCGTGTCCCCCAAGGCGCATGTGGTCCCTCCAGGCCCCAACTTAAATATTCACAGGTCTTAACCTACCGACCGATGTCTGAATCAAGCTCGGCTGGAGTAGATGGACTACGCCCACGGCCCGTTTCGCCCCCTCAGGCCTCTCCGCCCCCATCCGAATTAGCGGTGCTTGTGCCCCCCTCCCAAAAATTGCTTCCTGGTGCTTCCCAGGGTAGCATCCGGTCTAACGCTATGCGCCTGCGATATATAAATGGGGTTTTTGCTCGTGGATGGACTCGGCATGCAGCAGGATTGATCCAGCGCATTGGAAAAGGCCTCTGGGGTCTTCGGTGGTGGTCCCTGCCCGATGGCATCGATCCGTCCCGTAAAAAGGCGCCTGGCTACATCCCCAAAGATCTGCGCAGGTGTCTCCGTTCCAGCCTGCCGGGATACAGAACTGCGTAGTCAAATGCCGGAGACTTCGGCGCTCATTGTAGCTTTGTGCCCAGCTTACGCTGTCGGTTCCTATGAGAGAAGCAACGGGACGAGGGTCAAGGGTGTTGGGCCAAACCTCACCACCACTGGAGGCGCCTAGTTTTTAAGAAGAGACTGGACAACCCTTTGTCTGAAATGTTATAGGGTTTCCAGTCTGAGTAGGAGGCTGGACTAGGACCTGGGGGAGGCCCAGCTGGAGGCCCCTTTCGTGTCCCCAGCAGGAGCAAAGGACGAGAGCTCACCCCACCGCAGTAATTGGGTCTCGAACACAGGCCTGCTGACCTCCAACCAGGTGAGCGACCGTTCCAGGTGGTAAAAAGGACAGGAGAGAAGGAATGTTTCCAGACTTGCCTGTTTCTGTGAACGTAACCTTTCCGTGACTACCTCACAGGGCTGACGGCTGCTTACCTGGCTTCTGCTCTGCTGACTGTGTATTCGAACCATAAGATATTGGGGATGAGGCTGGTGTCTCGGATTAAGAAAAACTCGGATAACGGCCTTAAAGAGAAAAGGCAGGAAGGCAAGATAGGAAAGCAAGTGAAGCAAAATGTGGCCAAATCCTGTAAGTTCTTCTACTGAATCGGGCCAAAAATCAGTGCTAGAATTCAGGCTATTGTGACAAGCACCAACAGTTCATCAAGCTTTGTCATTCGAGGCTTGAAAGAAACATCCCACCAAAATCACATTTATGACAATGGCTTGAGTGACAACTGTTTAGTGAATGAATAGTTTCTGAAAATAAATCCTCTGATCTCAGCAAATTCCAGAGACGGTGTTCCAGACAAATAAGACCTGGTTTGGGGCCAGATTCTGATCATACCACCTCAAACTGCCTCCCTTTTGAAGGATTCCCTCTGGGAATGGCTCGGTCCAAGAAGAGGTTGGCAGGATCCAGCCAGAAATTGAATGTTCTGGCGTCCTCTGGAATATTCCCACCATTGCCTGGAATGCCCCACTGCTGAGTCAAATAACTTTGTACATTCCCACCATCTACATGGAGAGGCATTTTTAGTTTAGAAGAACTGCAGAGCAGGGAAAGACGGACTTACCATGCAGCTATCCTCGGGAACAAAGGCGTTAGGATTTCCTGCGTGAAGAGAAACCAAAGGGCAGCCATGAAGCTTCCCACAAACCCTCCGTAGACAACTTGACTCCAGGTGTGGTACAGTAAGTAAACCCTGCAGAGGGGGAAGAAAAAAGGGTTATCAAGAAGGAAGGATGCGAGGGAGCCATTTAGCTCTTTATCTCTCTCTGAAAAGACGAGCGTTCTCACCCAGAATCCCAGCCCTCCTTTTCCCTAGAACGTGCTACGAAGAGCAGCTTTTCCAAACTCGGACACTTTAAGATGGTGTGGACTTCAACTCTCAGAATTCACTGGCTGGGGCTGAATCCCCTGGCTGGGGAATTCTGGGAGTCCACAAACATTAAAATTTGTTTTCAAGGTTGCGATAGGCAGCCATCTGGGAGCAGAAAGGCACCATCACAAGGCCCCCACACACATACCTGCTGCACGAGACTAGGCAAGCCAAGGTTAAAAGGCAGAGGGACAACAGGTGTCTCCACAGCAAGTCCAGGAACCTGGCATTGTTGGTTTGGTGCATCCTGGGAGAGAGGAAACAAGCCTCTTAAAAAGTGGTTAAGAAACAGCGCATCCGAGCCCTGAAAAGTGGACGCCCAAAGCTAGACGTAGCTTTCCTCCATCTGTGCTTCTCCCAGGCAGATATACAGGCATGTTATGGCCCGTGATGGAGCTTGCCCAGCAGAGACACAATTCACGGCATTTATAAAATGGGTCACCCACATAACTGACCCAAAAAACTTTCCACCTCCAGATTGACAGCTCACCTTAAATAAAGGAAGAGGAATGAATAGACGGAGAAGAACCATATAAACTGAGAATGGCTGGAAGGCATGGCGTATTTCGAGTAGACCGACAGGTGGACTTCTGCGGAGACCGAAAGAAAGCAGTGGAAATCAATTCCATTTGTGGGAGGTCACACACATTTGCTCCCAGTCTGACCTCAATGTGGCTTCTAGCAGACACCATAGAATATAGAATCCTAGGGCTGGAGGGAGCCTGGAGGTCTTCTAGTCCAAACCCCTGCTCAAGCAGGAGACTCTAGACCACTCCAGACAAACAGCTGTCCAGTCTCTTCTTAAAAACCTCCAGTGATGGAGCATCCAAAACTTCTTGTGGCACGCCATTCCACTGATGAATTGTTCTCATTGTTCCTTATATGTTTTAGCCTCCAGCCCCCTCATCATCTTTGTTGCTCTTCTCTGCCCTCTTTCCAGAGTCTCTGCATCTTTTCTGCATTGTGGTGACCACAATCACGAGACCACGTTACCTGCATTCACCTGTTGGTGAGTGTGCAACTGGTACTCTACCTGGGCAAGGCCTCTGTTCCTGGACAATGTTCTTGATTAACCAATTTACACCTTCATTGAAACACAGCCCTCCCAAGAAAGAGATCTACAAAAGAGATTTCAAAACCAGATCAACCGTATGCAAGAGAGCCGTTATCATTCAACGTAGTGTTTATGGGCCCAATTTTATCTATTTCAGTCCAGCAGACTTACCGTGTGTAGCTCTCTCTTGAAAACAATGAGGGTGATGAAGCCTACGATGATGAAGATGGGACTCAGGCTAAGGTAGGCGAGAAGATGGCCGGTGAAGTCACCTGGAGGGAGACAGCGAGAAATCAGAGTGTGGAATCGAAAGGAACTTGCATCCCGTTGGAAGGGCTGATAGCAACAACGCTTCTCCAAGACTCATGGATTTTTAGAGGAGGAGATGTGCAGGTCGGGGTTGAACTGTGGGGCCCTTGCTGCTTTCTGAGTTTGGCGGTTTCCTTGCAGATGTTTCATGACCCAACTAGGTAACCTCATCAGTGTTAGAAGGAAGTGGAGTTTATGGAGAAAGAGGACGATGACTGTGGGGTCCTTGGTGCTCTCTGAGCTTGGTGGTTTTTTTGCAGACGTTTCATGACTCAGCTAGGCAACAACATCAGTGCTAAAAGGGAGCTAGTTTCTGCATATTGCTACCTTCCAACATTGATGAGGTTACCTAGTTGGGTCATGCAATGTCTGCAAGAAAACAACTAACCTCAGAGACCATCAAGGGCCCCATAGTCCTTCTCCCCCCCCTTCTCCCCGAACCCCACTCCCTTCTAGCACTGAATTTCTGTTGCTAAGTCACACACATCACTTCTTTTCGGCACGGTTGTAACTTTGAATGCTCACTAAACAAACGGTTGGAACTACCTGCCCTTGCAAACTCTTTGTCTTGAGAAAACCAACAGAAAGGGAAGAATTCATATCCATCCCCTCTCCGATCGGGTACCAGCTTCCACCAGGTTTGGAAGATCACAGAGTACCATTTTTATTCTCCTAGTTTTAAACTACGACATGCAAACCGATGCACAGATAAAGATGTGAACAGTAACTTCCCTTTACGTGTGGGAAGATTCAAAGGCGGGCAAAAGGGCAGCTCCCCCCTAAAACCAGTTTGAAAAGTGAGGTTTACCGCAGGAGCTTTGCCTCACACGAAGCGAAGCGCGTCAATGAATGGAAAACAAACCACATCCTTCTCCCAGCCACCACCGCCGTTTCCTCTCAGATGTCAGCTTTGGCAGATGCTTCGGAGGTGATAATTTCAACCGCTTGGTCAAAACGGTCTCGGTCTCAGTCTCCGTCTTTAAGTGTCAGTACAGGTAATCCTCGACTTACAACTGTTCATTTAAGGACAGTCTGAAGTTACAACAGAGCTGAAAAAGTGACTTGGAACCACGCTTAAGCCCCAAACCTCTGTCGCTAGGAGAGGCATTTGCTGAGCTTTGCCCCATTTTACGACCTTTCTTGCCACACTTAAGTAAATCCCTGCAGCTGTTAAATGAGCCACACGGTTATTAAGTGAATCCATCTTCCCCCCATTGATTTTGCTTGTCGGAAGGTTGCAAAAGGAGATCACGTGACCTCGGGACACTGCGGCCATCCTGAGTCAGTGGCCAAGCATCTGAATTTTGATCAGGTGACCCCGGGAAGGCTGCAACGGTCGTAGGTGTGAAAAAGGGTCATTTTTCCAGTGTTGTTGTTAACTTTGCACAGTCACTAAAAAACAGTTGTAAGTCAAGGACCACTTATAGGTTTTCTCAGTAAGATAAGAAAAACTTTATTGTCACTTATTTTAAAGTAAGATAATGTGAATAAAGTTAAATAAATGAGATTCAGCTGTCCTGGCTTTAAACTATGGATCTCGGAGTATTACATATGCTAAGTGGGCTTCAGAAAAGGTAGGGAGTGATTTATGAAGCTTTTGGCCCAGCTTCCTGGAGAATTACAGTCCACCTCCCTTTAATTCCAGAAAATTAATTATGATACAGCCCCCTAGGAGTAAATCAACCGCAGGGCAGCTTCCGTCAAGTTGACAGCTGAATTTATCCATCCCTGCAGGGAACCTTTGCAGCAAACCAGCAAAAAGAGAAGGTAGAATTTAAGATTTGGATATTTTTGCTTGTTTCATGCCAAGGTTATGAATAGCCAGCGCTCCTCAATCTGGTAAATGAGCTTTCAGCTTGCAGAAAGCAGATGAATAGGAACAGAAAGTCCAACTTGTTAGTTTTCCCCATCAAAACAAAACTGCTGGCAACAGCTGGTTTGAGGAATGACGACATTTCCAATTACTTAGTGAAACATCCAGCTAATGCATCCTCAAACATATCCTACATCAACGTGCGAATTTAGCCAGAATCTGCTACACATGGCTTCCAGCTAGCTATGAAATGCACGCTGTGCAAGGATGTCTAAATCTTCCTTTAAAGGGGCTAAAGAGCTGCAAAAGCAAACACGTGTAGCCAAAATTGCAAGAAACTGGAATCGGGCAGCGTGTTGGCAAATAAGCAGTGGATCACTACTATGCTTTACACTGAGACTTGCACCAAGAGCCCCACAGTCCTTCCTCTCCTCCCCCTCCTCTCCACAAACCCACTACCTTCTAGCACTGATATTATTTAGTTTGGGTCATGAAAAGTCTGCAAGAAAACAACCAAGCTTGGAGAATATCAAGGACCCCTCAAATCTGCTTTTGTTTCAAGGCCTGCCAGACAGGCTGGTTGGGAGGCCCTTAAAAACTCCGGACATCCACTCAAAACTAGGAGACCCACTAATGTTACTTGAGACAAACACACACACAATGGGTGACAGCCTGCAGGCATTAAGCAGCCCAGCATCATTCAGGAAACAGGAGAGGAGGCCGCTGAACATCAGAGGAGATAAATAATACATGTGCTTTATTGCCACAATGCGCCTATCATGCACAGTGCTGAGTGCCTAGAAAGGAAAAACCCGAAGGATGCCAAGACGTAGCTCTGCTCGGAAGCACCACACCCTGTTACGAGAAACCCTCGCTCTGCTCCCAGAGGCCAAGGGCTGATTTGGGGAGCTGGCCGAGAAAAACGTGCTCTGCACTGCCTCAGAGGCTAATCCTGCTGTGAGATGCAAAAACAGACCAGTTTGGGCGTGTTTATGCCTCAGATTACAGGTAATCCTCGACTTACAATTGAGCCAGAATTTCCATTGTTAAGTGAGACATTTCTTAAGTGAGCCTTGCTCCATTTTACGACCTTTCTTGCCACAGCTGTTAAGTGAATCACTGCGGTGTTTTAACCACACGGTTGTTAAGTGAATCTGGCTTCCACATTGAGTTTGTCAGAAGGTCGCAAAAGGGGATCACACGACCCTGGGACACTGCGACCGTCATAAATAGAAGTCAGTTGCCAAGCACCCGAATTTTGATCACGTGACCAGGGGATACTGCAACGGTCATAAATGTGAAAAATGGTCATAAGTCACTTTTTTCAGTGCTGTTGTAACTTCGAACAGTCACTAAACAATTGATTGTAAGTCGAGAACTGCCTGCATTATATTTGAAAGTCGTTCTGTTTCCATCCATCTTTGACTGTGTTGTGACTTCTCCAAAACGGTTAATATCTCAAGGAAGGGGAAAGGAGATAATTTTTGTTTAACTGACTTGAGGGACCAAAGCTTCAGTTATATAAACCAGGGTGCAAGGGATTAGAGTCCCCCCTACCCCCTCCTTCTGCCACTTTGCACTAAAGTTGGCCTCCTCTCAAATAAAGCTTAAAGATAAATTGAGAAAAAAGCCGACAAGGCTGGCTGTGTTGTAACTCCCCTGCAACCCCGGTCCCATTTCAGACTTTGTGCTGCTACTGATAAGATAAAGCATGAAGCAAACAAACCTGAATTCAACATTGCAACACCAGATACGGCTTAATGAAGGCATTAAAACAATCGGGAATTCCAAAAGAAAGAGAAGTGTGCTTTGTCACAGGCACAAAGACAGGAACGTTAGTGATAATCGAATCTATGTAAAATATGCCAGGTTGGGCAACGGTTTAGGAGTCACATTTATTCATCAGAGATGATCAGAGCAAGCGCCTGGCCTACATTGATAAGTTGTATCAGTGAACTGAACCTTGGTTTACTCAGTTCATTCAAATGATCTGATTCCAGTGACAAACTATTAAGCACAAGTATCCATGGAGTTTCTCAATCCTCCCATTCATGGTTGTCCCAAAGACGCTTTTCTCTCTGAACTGAAGATGTTTCAGCCCAGAATTTACTGTCTGGCACAGCACATTAGGTGAGCAAAGTTGCTGCGTTTTGGGAAATCAGCTTGAGGGCTGTGCAAAGCCAGCTTGCACGTTTTGGCAAAGGAAACAGCTTATCCACTTTTGAGTCCTGGAGGAACTCTTGCTTTTTTATTTAAAATGTTCAAATAGCTGCCCATCTTATAACCAACTCTGGGCGGCTCCCAATAGGAAGCCAAAACAGCATGAAAGCCATTCATTAAAATTGTCAAACGGAACCTATTTAAAATAAACGTTGTAGTATAAGGAAGGAAGCACCTCCTTGCTTGGAAACTTGCAACGCTGTTTCCAGGACAAAGGGAGGGGTCTCCATCGTGTTCATCCATGGCTGGGGGGCAAGGGTCCTTGCACCGTTTGGCAGCATAAATTGCAAAGTGTGCAAAACTGGGGTACCTGATGCAATAAAGTGCTTTGTCCGGGGGAGGGGGGGCACAGCCCTGGCTTAATCAAGCCCACCCTCACAGCTGAGGGATAAGAGGAGAAGACGGCTTGCAAAAGACCCGTGAAGCAATTGCAATGGAGGGGGAAGAAAAGAACCCCCCCGCCCCAATTTCTAGGCTGTGTACTATCAAGGCAAAGCCCAAGAGGTACCGCGCATGCGCACTACAGCAAAAGCGGCTCCCTATCTGCTAGCAGCAGCGTCGCCGCCCCAATACGCATGCGCGCCCATCCGCCGCTCATCAATGGCTCACTATTTGGCAGTTCCCGCCTCACGTCCCTCAGGCCTGGCTAAAGCTAAAAGCTACCAGCGAAGACGAAAGCGCGCTTTTTACCTGCTGGATACTCGACGTGAGTGAGAGACACCGAATTCCACGGAACAGGGATCGAGCACTCTCCGACTGCGGCCATCTTACCCGGATACCGGGCCGGGCGGCCACAGCCAATCGGCCGGCACACACGGGGCGGGGCGGCCAGTGGGCGTGCCTGTGTGGCCCGCTCGACCAATCTGATAGCTCGCCAGGTGAAGCCTCCAACCAATCCTCGAATACTACCACACCCCCGCGGCTTGGCCTTCCCTTGGAATCAAGCAGCCAATCACAGAGTCCGGTCCATGGCCGAGCCCAGGTATATGAGAAAGCCAATGGCAGGAGAAGTGAGGCGAGCGGCCACCGAGGATTGGTTGGCTCTCCACGCCAACTGAGAAGTTGCTCCGCTGGTCCGCCCCTCCTCGCTGCCTCTTCTCCTGCCTCCTCGCGCGCTCCCGTTCACAGCCAATCAGATCTTTGGGAGTGGATGGCGGGCTGAGGAGCGATTGAATGGGAGCGCGGTGCATTGTGGGGCTGGGCTCAGCCCCTATGACTCAGGGCTATGATGGCCAGATGGTGGCCTGCGGTGTGCTCAGCCATGCTTTATTCTAGATTGTTGAATAAATCACAGCTAGCTAGGCTGAAAGAAACTGCTAAGCCCTGTTTACAAACAACAGACCCCTTAGGGCACTGCTTCCTAACTTTTGCAACTTTATCACTTAAATTCCCAGAATTCCTTAGTATGAAAGGCTGGCAGGGGAATTCTGGGAGTTAACCCATACATCTGGAAATTGCCAAGATTGGGAGACCCCACCTTATGGTCTACATAATCCTACACTGAATAAACCACAATTCACACTCCCATTGAGCCACTGACAACAGCTTGCAAGCTATACTGATTATGTTCACGCAAGGTACTGAATTGCTGTTTGCATAACTTTAATAAATTGGGAATAACATGAATAAATCATCACATTCGATAAATACGCCCTGAATGAAATGAAATAAGATCTGCATTAAATGCTAGCTGGGGTATAAAGGCGGAATATATATCAATAATAAAGTAAGTCTTATCTGACTGACTCATCTTTGCCAATTTGAACAGGAGAAAGCCTCGGCCACCCTTTGTGTCTTCTCCATCTGGTGTGAATTCATTAAAAAAATGTGTTCAGACATGAAACAAACATGAGATTTTAGAGCCAGACATATTTCAAAGCTTTGCAATAACCTAATAACAGGTTAGCAAGTGGGTTAGAGAAACCTCTGTTCTTGTAAAGATTAGTTTTTGTGTGCGTTCACATAGCACAAAGACTTCAAGGATTTGTAACAGAGAAGAAAATTCATTTTCCTTGCTTCTTCTTTCTCTCTTCCGGGCACCATCTGCACGAGATCAATTCCCCGGAGATAGTAAATACAATTAGCAGGCAAAAGCCAAGCCAAGCCAGAATGGAGCAGAAGAAAACAAGATGCAGAAACAATAAAAGCAAATTACATTGGGTGGTTTAGCTATCGTATTATTGACCGCAACTCCTAAGGAAATTAGAAAAGTTGAATAAACATTTTTTTTTAATTTTGCTGAACTAGAGGTCAATCAGTCCAGTAAGTATACAAATGGAGAAACGCAAGAAGTCTCTTTAGAAAATCTAAGTAAGAATTTCATCACCAGCAACCAGCAGAGACCAGGCACAGAATAAAATAAAATGGAGAAATTCTGTGTAATGAGATTTGCCCGGCTGTGTTGCACAAATCCAGCCAGTTGTTGTTTGATCCACTACAAGTAGTTCTCAACTTACAACCATTCATTTAGTGAACACTTGAAGTTACAATGGCACTGAAAAAAGTGACTTATGAGTACTTTTCACACTTACATTGCAGCATTAAGCAAATCTCCATCACTTCCATTAAATTGAAAGAGGGGAAAAGGAAAACACTCCAGACCACTTAATAATAAAGGAAATATTTATTTGATTTTTTTTTTCAGTGCCAAAAGTTCTAATAGGATACAAAAGTTTTAATTGCAAAGGGGATTGAGAGGCATAAGCACATCGATCACGGACGGGGGGGGGAAATAAAGTTCAAGCAAACCAAAATAATGAGGCACAAAAATTACATTCAATTCCTTCCACATTTTCAGGCAATATTCCCCAAAATGGGTTTCCTCCTCTTTTAACAAGTGTGGACTTCAATTCCAGGAATTCTCCAGCCAGCAAAGCTGATTACGGAATTCTGGGAGTTGAAGTCCACAGATCTTAAAAGTAGCCAAGGGTGAAAAAACACTGCTTTAGATGTCGATTAACTACCGTATATAATTTCCAGAATATTGCTCTTCTCCCTCCACCTCACATCCCATGGACACAGGATGTTCAAGATTTAGCAATATCCAAAGATCACAATCTCCCCACCATCCTTTGATTTGCAGGCAGAAAAGTCCACTTTTCCCAGGCTGAAAATGTCCAAATCTGTAGGAAAAGGTAGCCATGATGGTTGGGATCAAAAAAATGTGAAGGTCAGTGGTCAATTGTCATACCAAGTGAGCAAAAACGACTTGGGCACAAGAAGCTGTTGGAGTTTTGTGTTCCAATTCCCTCATTTCTGGGAGAAGAAGGTGCCTTCAGATTGAAAGAGAAAATTCCCAGTTTTTGGAATATGACCATGAAGATGTCGGAGAGAAAAATAAAAAAGGAAGTTTGTCTCATCTATGAAAGTGGATAAGCTCTCAAGCTAATTGGGATTTTAGAGTAAAGCATTTCTTGCAAGGCTTCACTAAAACATTTGATCCTTTCCAGAGGACCCAGTGAGATCTGGCCTTCCCTCCTTCCTCCCTCCCTCATTGCCATCTCTTTTCTTCCTTCCATTTCTTCTTTCATTTCTTCTTTCCTTTGTTTCTTCTTTCCTTCCTTCCTTCCTTCTCCATCCATCTCTTTCAGGGGTTCTTCCATCCGAGTCCACCATATGTGCAAGAATCTTTAATGTTATTATTAAATATATTAATTATTAAAAGTTTGACTTTACAGCGTTTTTCAACCTTGCCAACGTGAAGGTCAGCATGCTTTAAGATACGTGAATTTCAGTTCCCAGAATTCTCCAGCCAGCATGCTGATTGGAGCATTCTGGGAGTTGAAGTCCACCCACCTTCAAGTGGCCAAGGTTGAAGAATGCTGACAAGACACACAATAAAATAAATTCATTTAAAAAAAAATTAAAACCGAATTTTCCAAATCAAGTGATCAAAAGGTCCATAGAGCTCAACCAGGTCTCTCCCCACTTGTCTTTCTTTTCGGCCATCACATTTCATAGGGGAAAAAAGTGTCCTTGTGCACTAATCTCAAAACAGGAATATCCGACAGGACTCGGCCACAATTTATGCAAGTATTAAATAACTCGAAACAGGTAGGGCTGGTTGGCAAAAACTTCCCATCTGGATGATGCTGGAAACATCTCGGCCATTAAATAATCTCTAAATTAGTGTTTTTCAATCTAGTGATTTTAAGATGGGTGGACTTCAACTCCCATAATTCCCCAACCAGAATTGAAGTCCACCTCTCTTAAAAGTTGCCAAGGTCTTCGGTCTTTTTCGCTGCCTTCGGTCTTCGGCTTCCGAAATAGGGAGGCCGGTTGCCTTGAAAAAGGAGAAAACAAACCCATTTATAAGCCCCAAACGGTCTTCTCCGATCAAGCAAGCTTAGTTGACGCTATCGAAGGAAACACTGTCATTTCCCAGAGTTCCATTGACCTCTGGGATAGTCTCCACGCCTAAGTAGCCGAGCAGGATGTCACTGCGACGCCGTGACAGCTGAAGGATGTCTTCGGCTAACAAGGACACCGTTGTGTACCTTACAATGTCCAGGTCAAACATGTCCTTCAGATATTGCATAATCTGATGCTGGAGAAAGAGAGAGAGGATTATAGGCAGTCCCCGTCTTACGACCACAATTTGAGCCCCAGATTTCTGTTGCTAAGTGAGACATTTGTTAAGTGGGCTTTGCCCTATTTTATGACCTTCCTTAAAAAAACCACTGCAGTTCTTAAGTTAGCAACATGGCTATGAAGTGAAATGAGCTTTGATTGTCCGAAGTTCTTAAAAGGGGATCACGTGACCTGGGGAGACTGCGACCGTCATAAATGTGAATCAGTTGTCAAGCATCTGAATATAAATCTCGTGACCCTGGGGATGCTGCAATGGTCATGTGAAAAACGGTCATCAGTCTGTCACTTTGGTCACTAAATGAACTGTTGTTAAATCCGAGACTCCCTGCATAGGCTCTGACATTCTATGTTGGATAGTTTGTTTACCTGCCCGGCACTCACAATTTGGGGACAACAACTGTTATTCCTGCTGGATGCTAAAGAACAGTCACTCTGTAAGGGAAAATATCCGAAGCCTTGAATATACAACAGGCACTTCATCCTGCCGATCTCCTGACTATATCACATATTAAAGAGAGAGAAAAAGGAATAGATGCCAAGAGCCATTTAACAACAAAAATCACATAAGGGTTTGTTTTTCTCTTTTTAAGTGACTGCATATCCTTTGCCCACTCTTCCGGATTTTTTTTTTTTAAAGAGCATTTACCTTGAAAAAGCTGCAGACTTCAAAAAGCTGCTGTTTGGGCCCCAGGAAGCCAAAAGCCAGGACTGGGCTGACGTGCTCCGATACGGAGTAAAAATGAGATATAAAACCATCCGGAACCTGAAACCGAAGCGGAAGTTGAGAAGACGGAACGGTTGTCACTTGCAAACCACACATCACACACAAAAACCGCATGCTCTTTGCCAGGAAAGAGCGCTATAAAAACACAGAAACCAAGAATATAAATTCTTGGAAAATCCACTGGGGTGTATAAGAGGAGTGTTTAAGATGTGTGGATTAACTAGCCGACAAACTGCCACCTGAAGAGGGCTAGAAAACCCCTCCAAATAATTTTAGCAGATCCTGCAAGGAGTAGACCAGATGACCACTAAGGTCCCCTGCCATTCTTTCATCAAATCCCCACTGCAAAGAGGTTTGTAAGGAGAGAAAAAATGGGATCCGGATCGGGTCGTTCTCACGTACCATCAGAAGCCGCCTCTTCGCCTTCAGAACTGACCAGCAGGCGGTTGCAAGAGCCTAAAATGAGAGACAAAGTCAGGTAACCCTGCTTGGTTAGTTTTCCCCTCGTTGGAACGTTCCAGAAGACCGGAAAGTATGAGGTCCTCCCTAAAACCTAACCCTCCTTGGTTTCTGTGCCTAAACCAGGTTGGCCTGAGGCTATCAGCTGCTCTGCCTCCATGACTCCGAAGAGCCTGTTCCTCTCCGGACCCCCCCACCCCACCCCCAGAAACGCACCGTCTCCTTGAAGCTGTCGGAGAGCCAACGGTTGCGCAGGATGGCCACAACAGAGGAAGGCGGATTCTCCAGGTCTTCTAAAGCATCCAAGAGGATGAAGTCCAAGGCAACATCAAAGAAATTCATGCAGACCACCTGAGAGATGGACAAAAAAGAAACAATCTATGTCTATTCACCCAAATCATAGCAAACTTCCCTAATTCTGCCGGTTTCAGTTTTATTAATCATATTGGTATTGTCCCCCCCCCTCCCCTAATTGGAGGGGGGACTGGATTAAGGTAGGGCAAATAGATCAGTGAGAAACTTGATCCCAAAGCTGAAAACCTGGATGGAGGCAAAGATCTGCCCGTGAAGGTTTGAAACGGACAAAGATTTCTTATTAAGTCAATTTTTTATAAGAAGCCCAACACTCACCCCTCGGCCTTCCAGTTCCTTCTGTGTGGTTGGCCAAGTCTCCTGTCTCAGCGTGTAGAGCAGCATCTCCTTGTAGCTTTCAAGGAAACCCTTTGTGTTCTGGAAGAGCAGAAATCAGAGGAAAACAGCCCAAAACCAGTCAGGTGAAACCAGCCTTGCTTGTTGCTTCTCAATCAGTTCCATGAGGTCTAGAGGTTTCCTCAGATCTAGTTTGCTTAGTTAACCCTGATCTCACAGAGACACCCCCGCCCAATGGGGCTTATGTTTGGGGCAGGTCCTCAGAAGATCTTTGGTAGACCACTAGAAGATCTCAAGATGTTATTGTGAAAGCAGTTGTCACATTACACTGAGCAAACCCTGTGGTAGATTGTCTACCATTGTCTTCTCCCCCCCCCCCCCAGCACAATCACAGAACCCTTTCATGGCTGGTCCTTACCTTTTCAGCCTTGGTCATCAGCCCCATCACCATGCGTTTGCCCACCTCCCCAAAAAATGTCTGATTGTTCTCCACCAGCAGCAGTTCCTGTGAAGAGATCAGCCTTTGGAAACCACGGTTCCTTGGATGGGAGTTGAAGTTCAGCACGGAGGTCCACTGTGGCTTGTCAATCAAGCCAATTCTTTCTGGACCAGACACAGCAGTAAAGCCAACTTCCTTCCACCCCCAAATTCCCATTCCTCAGATTCAAGGACTCCAGAAAGAACAGACATCAGGGTAGAGTTGGCCCAAGCCTTGAGGGACAACTAGCTTCAAGGGAGAACCAGCTTCAAGGTCTCCAGAGAAGACCAGCTTCAAGAGATGATGAAGTTTCACAGTCTCCAGGCACCCACCTGAAAAGCTTGCCTGATGCAGTGAAGCTTTGCCAGAAAATCATCATCGCTGTAGCACTCCAAAAGCTCTGTGCTGGAAGAGGAGAAAGTTAGGCGGTGGGGTGAGAGGACAGAGAACATCTAGGTCAGTTTTCCCACCCTGATGCCCTCTCAAATTTGAGATTACAAATTCTGAAAGATGAAAGCCTGGGAATCTCAGATGCACCACAGACTCCTGGAACAGGAAACCAGCTAATACCCGGGGTTGCCCTTAACCAAAGGCTACAATTGGCCAGGACGACTGTTCATCCTGCAATCTAGTCTTGAGAGCCTTTATCATCATATCTCAGAATTATATCTCAGGACTTCAATTCCCAGAATTCTCTATGAGCTCAATCAAGAACCAGGAACTTTGAGAACTGTGATTTGAGCATTCTCCAAACATCTCAGGATTTCAACTCCCAGAATTCTCTACCTACAGAACCAAGAGCTAGCAACTCTGATCTTGGTACATTTGGAAGTATCTAGCTAAAGAAAGTTGTGTTGGCAACATTCAGTTTGGGATAAGGAGTAAGCATAAGGAACAAGCTAAAACCTCTCCATGAAGATCTAAAGGTCCATCAGACCCATAATGACCTTGAGGCCACCATGGGAAGATAAATATCCTGAGGCCTGCCTACCCCGAGCTCACCGAAAGGTCCTGCACAAAACCAACCCATCCTTCACCAGCCGCAACGCTTCTTCGTAGGCAACAGCTGGCTTAGAAGGCTGGAATGGCATCTTCTCAATTTCCAGGGAGTCAAAGATCTGGGAGAAAAGCAGAAACCACAAAAGGATTTCTTAAACATTAGAGGTACCCAAGAGGCTCATCGAAGACACACCACAATTACAGACCGAGCAGAAACAGTTTATCATTTGTAGCCTTGAGTACTACACAGACGTTTTGTGTGGGACAGCCCTAGGAGACTGCTCTGGGTCATGTGATCCCTTTTGCAACTTTCCGACAAGCAAATCAATGGAGAAGCCAGATTCATTTAACAACCCTGTTACTTCACTTAACAAATGTGGACTCAATTGTGGTCGTAGGTTGAGGATTTACCTGTAGAATGAATAAATAAACAAGGGCAAAGCACTGTGCAGGGTTCAAATTACCTCCGCGGCTGAGAAAAAGGATTCCTCGGAGGTCACACTATCTGCCTCCTCATCTTGCTGGCGCCTTAGAGACTGCTCAGTCAGTGGGAACATCAGAGTCTGCTCTGAGGAAGAGGAAGAGAAACATTTTAGAGGCGTAGTGGTGGTTTGTTTGGATCACAGGCAGCATAAAACCGGGAACAAAACAGCCCTTCTGAAACACAAATCAACGTTTTAGAAACCATCTCGGAACAATAAAATACGGTGAAAATAAAACTGTTAACGTACAATGACGACGTCAGGGTTAAAACCTGGGCGAGACCTATACAATCAGTCAGTCTGACCATGGTTTGGAGAGGTCTTGAGTTAGGACAAGCCCAGTTTCTCCCAGAATTAGCAAACCGGCTCTGCTCACCTAAATCAAGCAACAGGTTGTCGGTCGACAGAGAGGACCCAAACTCCTCCTGCAGGTTATACGCCCGGTACAGGAGCAGTTCCAGCTTGTCTGCAAATTCTTTTTTCTGAGATTCCTGGTTCAAAAAGACAAACACGGCTGCACTCGACATAAAATGAGGATCAGGGTCATAAAACGAGGATCAGGTTCCGAAGAACCAGAATTCCGAATTGGGTTCTTAAACCTCTGTTGATGTAGCTTTACAACAAAGCAGAATTTGCTCATTCCTGAATAGTTTACCCAGCCAGTCGGCCGGGAAATCACCCCGAAAATAAGCCAAGGTCTGTCCGTTGCCCAAAACAACTTGGCGCGTGTGTCCATGAAGTCCCCTCAAAGGGGGTTCTGGGTTTTACCAGATATGGGGCACCGGAGGGACTGTACCTCACAGAGGTCTTCAGGCAGCAGCAGATCCTCCTCCCTGGGGACGACCCAAGAGGCCGAGAGGCTGGGGGGGTCCCTCTGACGGACGGTCAAGGCCTGCTCCCACTTCTGCAGGGCCTCTTCAAACAGCTCCATGCCTGCCAAGGAAGAGAGACCCCCAGATGACCAGCAACAACCAGATTTGAGCCTCCTCTTGGCAACCTGCATCCCACTAAGCTGATGCCTGCTAGGCTGGGGATTCTGGGAGTTGAAGCTTCCCCCTTGCTGGCTGGGGGATTCTGGGAACTGAAGTCAACGCATCTTGTTGTTTTAGTTCTTTTAATATTGCAGGCCAGCCAAAGTCAACCTTGTGGTGAGATGGGTGGCAAACAAAATTTAATAAATAAAGGAGTTAAAAATTAACCTTCTATGTTCCCTGCAGACTGAATTAACACAGTATGCTAAGTTTCAAGCTGTGTTCACAGGCTACAACGAACGTCTGATGACATTTTAGGGTCACATGCTATGATCAGCAAACTAAGGCGGCTCCGTAAACCCTCATCACACGGCTGATGGGAAAGGGGGCTGCCCAAATGCCACCAAGGAGCGTTGAGTGCACGGACCCGACTCAGGAAACCAATCTCAGCTGAGAGAAAGGTGTGGTGCTAATTTGCACAGCAACCTCTTTTTACCTTGAAAATAAAGGTTTTCCGCACTGCAGTCGCCAGCAGCGCCTGGATCTTCTCCCCCCAAAGGGGCTTCCCAGGGAGCTGCAGAAGCTGGGGTGGGGCTGGGGGAGTTGACAACCGCCATCTAGAATGAAAACCAGACAAATCCCAGAGAAACAAAAGCTGTAAAACTTTGAACGGTCACTAAACGAAGTAAGTTGAGGACAACCTGTAGCAACTGCTTCCCCACCCACCCACCCTGGGGGCCTGAAGGGCCCCTCCCAGAGCATCTCTTACAGAGGCCAGGCTGTGCGAAGAGCTGGAATGCTTGCTGGGCTCCAAGGAGGAGATCCCGCTCAGCGTGTCGTTGCTCTTGCTGCCGGGACTCTGCAGCCGACGGCCGGAATAACCTGAAATTAGAGGGGAAAATGCAAGTAAACAAGGGGAAAAAAAAAAAAAAGAACAAGTTTCTGTTGCACAGCACCCAAAGTTAGTCGGTGTTGCGAAGGATCTAAATAGAATAAATTAAATACTTCGCTTTTCAACTATGCTTTGATAAAATGTAATTGCCTAACTGGGGGGCAGACGTCCGAACTTCGAATCTGAGTTATAAGTAGCTTTTTTCGCATCTGTTGTAAATTCAAACTGTCGCTAAGCAACCGGTCATAAGTTGAGAACTGTTCAAGCTAGTAAAACAGTCATGTTTGATGTCATAATGTGAAATCACTACCCCGATGTATGCAGACTCCTGTATAAAGCCATGCTTTTATTTTCTCTTTCTGTTTGACCCATTTTAATCACCCTGATGATTAAACAAAGCTACAGATTCTGGGCTGCAAACAGAATAAAAAAGACCGTTTTAATTAGCGAATGCTGAGGCCCCAATAAAACTTGCATTCACCTCTTAAGCAGCCCATAACAGCTCCGTCTACATCCCGCAGTAGAGAGCAAGACCCCTAGTTTTATTCTTATTATCACCGGATGTAGGCAGTTCTATTCCTACTTTAGGCATGAAAGCCGGCTGGGCGACCTTGGGCCAATCACCAGGAGACGGCGAGTTCTAGTCCCGCCTTAGCTATGAAGGCCAATTGGGTAATTTTGGACCATTCAGTCTCCCTCAGTTGGACCCACCTCACAGGGCTGTTGTTCTGGGGAAAATAGGAAGGAACATTAGGCATGTCTGCCACCTTGAGTTATTTAATAAAGGTTGAATATAAATGAATAAAAAAGAAGAAATGAATTTATCCATCAAAAAAGCAACCTTCGATCACCCTCACCTTTTTTCACCGAGGGGACCCGGCGGGTGGGCAAGATGGGCACCGGAACCACCCCAGGCTTGGCGCTGGACTTCTCTGGGGTGATTCGTTTCTTCCGCCGTCGCCGCTTCAACTGGTGGGCCGTCAAGGCCAAAGCTACCGTCCCGAGAGCCGTGGCAAAGAGCACCTTCCGGAGGCCGGGAGTGATCCTCAGCGCGGAAAAGGCCGACTTCGATAGCAGAAGGAAGCAAAACAACACAACTTTACCATCTGGGCAAAGGGAAGCTTTTGCAGTCCCCTTCAACAGAAAGAGGTCAGAGAAGAGCAACAAAGATGATTAAGGGACTGGAGGCTAAAACATATGAGGAACGGTTGCTAAAACTGGGTATGTCTAGTTTAATGAAGAGAAGGACGAGGGGGGACATGATAGCAGTATTCCAATATCTCAGGGGCTGCCATAAAGAAGAGGGAATCAAGCTATTTTCCAAAGCACCTGAAGGCAGGACAAGAAGCCACGGATGGAAGCTAATCAAGGAGAGAAGCAACCTAGAACTAAGGAGAAACTTCCTGACAGTGAGAAGAATTAACCAATGGAACAACCTGCCTCCAGAAGCAGTAAATGCTCCAACACTGGAGGCTTTTAAGAAGAGACTGGACAGCCATTTGTCCGAAATGATATAGGGTTTCCTGCCTGAGCAGGGGGTTGGACTAGATGACCTCCAAGGTCCCTTCCAACTTTACTACTATTACTATTACTAACAGACTAACTCCAAGCGGAACAGCATCCCTCTGGACTTATATATGACGTGCAGAATCACGCGAGGTCACTTAAACAAGCCAACATAATGCGCTTCAGCTGTAAATTGTTGCTAAGAATCTCTGCTCGCCCTCAATGTTTTCTTTCGTTTACCTGCCCAAACGTGGTGTAAAGGAACACGGGGATCTCTGCTATGGTCATAGCCAAGGCCTGGATAATGGACATGCCCTCCGTCCTCTGAAATGCCATGTTGGGAAAGTGCTCGGGTTGTGCAAACAGGCGTCGCAAACGAGGTGGTGCTGGTCCCACGGCAGTCCAGCGTCAGGCAAGATCCAACCATCGGCCTTCAGAAGTGCATCTATTTCCTGAAGCAGAGGCAAAAAAAAAAAAAGGTTGGGAAAATGGTGGAAAACTCGGAGAGAACCAGCCAAAAAACGGCAAAATCAACAACGATGGACCAGGTTAATTTTTAAAGTTCAGGACAAACCCTGGTGGATGAAGATTTAGATACGTTTCACAGCAAGTCCAGAAGACAGCCAGCAGGGTTTACGGTTGCATGATGGATCAATCTCATGACAGGTTGCCCTCAACTTATGACAAGCTTGCCCATCACGGTCCTAAGTTGCAGCCATCGTAAATCAGGTCAACCGTGAGCAACCCAGTTTATTTTATGTATTTCTTTACTTGCATCCTGCCTTTATTTTTTTTTACAAATAACTCAAGGGGACAAACATATCTGACACTCCTTCCTCGTCCTGAAAAATGTGCAAAATGTCTCAATTCTCACAGAATCAGTTTGGCCCATTGCAACAATTCCCCATTGCTCAGAAGGTGGTGTTTTACAGGCAACACTGATAGAAACATTTTGAACACAATTAGCCTTGGCTTTTGAGAAAGTTTCTGGTGTACTCCCCGATTAAAATGTCTCCTCCAGCCAGTCTCTGCAGAGCTCCTAACTAATTACAAGCTGAGCATAATTTTTGGCAACTCCTTCTGAAAAACATATATGGAAAAGACTCGCTTAGATCACATAACCTAATATAATCTTAGATAACTTCAAACCTATATAATTAATATAAGAACACTATTCTTGTAATGGTGTTTTAATATGCTATCACTGCATCCCTTAATTGCAAAATTATTACTCTGTATTGGGGGAAGCTTCGTTTTTTTTCCCAATTGTTAAAGTGAAGCTTGGTGTGTAACAAAGTTTTCGATGCAAAACTGCCAATCAAAACATCAAAATTATTCGGTTAGGATTTTTTCCTCCAGAATATTTTTCTTTAGGGTTTTTTTTCCCCTCCTGGCTGGGAAGCTCGAGCAAACTGATGAGCTTAAGAGACCTGCCACATGCAGTTCGAAGATACACTGCCTCTGCCTGTGGAAGCTCTCCTTGAACCCCATGCTCTCCATAAACAGTGTCAGTAATTCGGGATTGCAATAACTGCCTTGCCCCTTATTACAGATCAATTTTTAGACCTGGCCTTTTGCAAATACCCCACGTCCAGACGCTTCTTCTCCATGCACCGCCAAGGCCATTTAATTTCTGTTAATTTCTCCAAACCTCCCCCCTCCCTTCACCTTGGAAAACCAGGCTTCAAGCATCCAACCTATACAGAAATGGCATTCCAGGTAGACTGTTCCTGAACCTGGGGGCTCCACTCTACCGTTTCCCAGGCTAGGAAAGGCATTTTTTCTCCCCCTCAGAGACGAACCTGGTTTCCATGCACTGAGCTCGGCTTGTGCTGGTGCTGCGTCCTGCGTGGGTTTTGCACATCATTCACTTTGCTATCCTGTCACCCGCCTGTCAGTAAACCCGCTGGGCGTGCTTAAATTATTAAGCAGTTGTCACTATCCAAGGCGCCTGTTTGGGAGAGATCCACTTTCCCAGCCCCGGCAGAAAGCCGGCTATGCAAAATTATAATCATCATCATCATCTTAAAATATTGTCCCCCCCCCAACCCATAATGGAACAGTCCGCCGCCCGTCTCACCTAAGCCAGATAGCCAATACCATTCTCTTAATCGAGGGGAGCTCTCACCATAACGCTCCGCTCGCCATGGCTGCAGAAGGACAGCGTCTCCTTCCCGGTTCGATCGCAGCCGCGCAGACTACCCTGTCTAATCTCCGCCTAGCGAGGGAAATTGCAGACTGGCAGCCATCTCAACCAATTGAAACGGCAGCCCGTCCGAGAGCGGACCAATAGTTACCCTTTTGTCGCTTAACTTACCGCAAAAGAATCTAGAGCTAGGTTGAACCACCAAAGCCGCGTCCTTGTTTCCCAATGGGAAAGGAGGCGTGCTTCCGAGCTGATTGGCTCCTGCGCGACGTAGAAGGGGAGGGGAGGGGCTCTTCTTAAAGGAGCATTGCCTTCTGCACTTGGCTAGAGGCTAGGCGGGGAATGAAATAAAAAGAGGGACTAGAAACACGCAGCGCGTCTCAGCTCTTCTCTTTTCCGTCCATATTTGAATGAGAATTTATATTCTGTTTTGAACACTAATAATTGTAATTTAAATTAGAACAGGAATAAAAGGTTTTATCTCTGGCTTCCTACAATAGAAACCATACCCGATAAACTGATTTATTATTACATTTGTAAGAGACACAACCCTGGAATCTGAAAGCGGTGACAATACATTAAACCTGGCTTTAGCTGATGAATCTAAATCTATCTCTAGGCAAGAGTGCCAAGCAGGTTCCCAGGCCCCGCTTCCTTTGCAGCCAGAGGGTGACCCTAATCATCCTGGTTGCGGAGAAGAACGATGATAAGGGGGCCGGAGGCTAAAATGTATAAAGAACGGGTGCAGGAACTGGGCATGTCTAGGCTGATGAAAAGAAGGACTAGGGGTGCACGAGAGCAGTCTTCCAATATTTGAGGGGCTGCCACAAAGAAGATGCTTCTCCAAAGCATCTAACGGAAGACAAGAAACAATGGATGGAAACTAATCGAGAAGCAACCTGGAATTAAAGTAATCAATGGAAGAGCTTGCCTCCAGAAGTTGTGGGTGCTCCATCACTGGAGACTTTCAAAAAGAGAGTGGGCAACGCTTTATCTGAAACGGTCTCCTGGTCGAGCAGGAGGTTGGACTAGATGACCTCTGAGATCTCTTCCAAACTCTGTTATTTTATTACGTTCTATGCTACTCCGGGGATGGAGTGCTTTCCCCGAGGGTGCCCGGCGGAGACTGCAATGGCAACCGGTGCGTAAAAACGCGGCGCTTTTACGCGCGGCGCTGGAGAGCTCCGGCCGGGCCGGGTGCCTTTAAGGGGCTGCTTGGCTGGCTGGGCGGGGAGGGGCGTTCGCGGCGCTCGAGGCTGGCGGCCGTTCGCTGGCGTTGCTCTCCGCCTTCTCGTCTGCCCGCAGCGCTAGCCCAGCCCCGCCGGCTCGCTCTGCTGCGGGGAGAGCCAGCCAGGCAGCCGGCCGTCGCCCTCGCCGCTTTCCCACGCCATGGATTTCAACATGAAGAAGCTGGCATCGGACGCGGGCGTCTTCTTCACCCGAGCGGTGCAGGTGGGGCGGGCAGGCGGCCAGATCGGGGTGCGGGGGCTCTGCAAGCGGGGGAGCCGCGTCTTTCCCCGCCTGATCGTCTGAATCAGGCCGTTGTCTGAAGCTGGAGGGGGAGGAAATTTCTTTGCGCGCCGCGGGGGGGGGGCAGCTCGGGCTCTAATAATGACACTAAGGACCATAATGCACGCCTGCAAGGAGTGTCAGGGTGCAGGAGGAAGAGGAGGAGGAGGGCAGGCTGCCTTGTTTCGCCCGCGTGCCAGAGAAGCGTGGGAAGGGAATGCCAGGCAGAAAAAGAAATAGGTCGTGTTTATCATTCTCCCCCCCCCCCCTCCAAACCCGGGATCTGACTTAATGCAACATGCCTGGTTCGGCCAGTGAGGACGGATGCACGGATGGGTGGGTCGGGTTGCAGTTGGTTGGCTGGATCAATTGCGTGCTTCCTGGTTGTGTGAACGAGGCCTGCTTAGATTTAAAGGGCAAGCTTCCCATTTCTGCTCGGACGCTACAGGTCAGCTCCCAAAGGAGCACCCAAACAGGGCAGGCTGAACCAGGATTGGGGGGGGTGGTCGTCCTGCAAAACTCGCCTTGGAGCCTCCTCTGTACATCTCTGCTTACCCGAATGAAGACAGAGAGTGATGCTCGTGTTTTTGTTTGTTCCAGCTGGCTGATGTGGATGGGGGTCCACTAAACCAGCTGGCTGCTTTCGCCCACAAAGTCTTAAGCCATTATCCGGCCCCGTGGCATTTTGCAACTGACTATTTCCTAAAGACTCCAGCGGGTGACTGTGCAATCTTGCTGGGCCCTGCGTCCCTTTCACTTTTTTAATTTGGGGGTTTGTAAATGCTACTTTCCCAAAGGCTGCAGTCAGAGGAACCAAACCCTGGTCTGAACACACCTCAAACATATGGTACCTGTCATATTGACCTTGCAGTTTAAATTTGGAGGGGAAAAAAGGCAGTAAAGATTTCCTGGAATATCACACCCAGATCCTTTGGTAAGGTCGTCAAAGAGAATTTGTTCCGCAAATGTCCCTCTAGGTTGCATCTGATCCTCCAACTGATGGGACTTTTATTTCTGTTCACTGGAGGTGCTTGCTAGACAAATGGACGTTTTTCAAAGGTTGAGCTCTGTTGCAGAAGACATAACATATAAAGAAGTAGAATGAAATATGGCTGGTGTTCGGAAGAAGATAAAAATTTTATAGATATTGGGTAGGAATTTTTTGTCCCAGCCTCTTTTTCTGACTTGTTAATGAGGAAGGAGTGAATTGAAGGCGGATGAATAACTTGTATAAACTCCAAATCCAAGCTGGGAGCCAACCTGATTCCTGTTGACTTTCTGAAAGCAAAACAGGTTTTGCCTTTTCCTTCTGGACTTGCTCTGTTCGGCCATTAAACCATCCCACGGTCTGCTTCCCCGTTGTATCTTGTTTTTTAAAAAATGGACTAAAGGTGCCTCCAGACAGATGGTTTACAGCTTTGCCATCCAAATTATTTATTGCAGATCATTTCTCTTGTTTTTCAAGATGTCACAACTTCAGGCAGCTTGAGGGGTGATAAGTGTTGATGAAATTGCAGGATTTTGTTTATTGCAATGTATATTTGCCGGACTATGTATTTTTATTATACTGCAATATATATGCAATATATTTTATTTAAAATATATTCACACCGTAATATATATTTGCAATGTTATACAGCTATTTAATACATATATTTATTGCAAAGCATATTTGCAATTTTAGATAGGTTACTATGTATGTATTTGAAATACATATACATACATAGTTACGTATACACACACACATATTAGACAGACTCTCAGCCTAGCTCACCTCACAGGATTGTTGTGGGGAAAATAGGATGAAAGAGTATTAGGTACGTTTGCTGCCTTGAGTTATTTATAAAGAATAGAGATGGGATACAAATAAAACACATGCAATACGATTAATATATATTGCAATATGGCAATATGGCAATATAGGCAATATGTTTGCAACATTAGGCTAACATTTAGCACGAATTGCAATGCATGTTTTCAATTTTGTATAAATTATTTCATAACAATATATTGTAGTATATATTGTTGTCTTTGTGCGCACAAACATATCCTTGGAAAAAGGAACTTTTCCATCGTATAGAGTCATTCGGTCCTTTTTAACAGCTTTCTTTTTGTATTTAAAAAAAGGGGAGGGGTGATCTTTGGAAAGAGGATGAAAGAGGGGGGACAGTTGGGGTGGAGACAGAAAACACTGTTCCCCTGTTTGTTTCGCAGCTAGTGCAATACGGTGCAAAGCTTGGCTGAAATCAAACAGCCCCTTTGGGAGTTAGCATTGTTCTCCTTTGATAGCCGCTGCATTGACTGTGTTCTGGAAATAACCCTTTGCACAGTTTGAGTCCTGGAGTTGCTTTTTTGCAAAAGGGGGGGGAGCTATATTTTGCAATCTGCAATGGGCATTTTGCCCTGGATCCTTCCAACTGGGCTGGGCTGGGTCCCCTGGGCCAGTTAAAAAATTCTATCACCTCCAGTTACCATGGTCTTCTCACCTGCTAAGTAAAAGAGGTTTCCGAGAGGAGGCCTGCATCCCCTGAGCCCACTTGGCATTTTTATTTTCTAAGCAAACCAGCGAAGAACAACAAAAAAAAAAAGCTTTCTAGCTATCATCCATTCGGGCTCTTTGCAGTCCTCGGTACTTTTTAAATTCAGTTAACTTCCAAGCAGGGCAGGCAGCCTGGCCTGCATTTAGAGATGCTCGAGATACAGGTGTTCCTTCATTTAGCGAGCGTTAGAAGTTACGACGATGGTGAAAAACAGTGACTGATGGTGGTTTTTCACACAACCGTTTCAGCATCCCCACAGTCACGTGATCAAAATTCAGGCAGCATCCTAGCCGTAATTCGAGTACTACCTGTACTTTTGGTTTGGGGCTGTCACAGCGAGTAGCTTTTGCAGAACCGCAGTTTTGACCCCTGAAGACTGAATCTTCCCCAGGATGGGAGAAATTCTCCTGCAGAATTCCTAACCTTGGGGTTTGGGACGATGGGTAAGCTAACACACTGCAGCTGCCTCTTTCCACTTGACTGAGCCCCAACAGCGGAGGAAACCGGACCGGCTGGTAATTCATCAGCCAGGTTTCTTTGCAAGCTGAAAGCTGGTGAGGCTGTCTGGGTGCTGAGTCACCAATTAGCTCTCTTGCGTGGGGCCGGCTGGCCCCGTTCCCAGGAAAGCTTCAAGTTGTTTTTGTGTATCCTTTCCAGGAAAATAACAATAAGCATCAGCATCCTTGTTGCAAGTGGTGTTTAGCCACTGGATTTGCGTTTAAGGGTAGTATTTGGCTGTGGGAACCATCCAGGCTGTTTCATGCCTGCTTTTCCTTCTCTTCCTGCAGTTCACGGAGGAGAAACTCGGCCAGGCGGAGAAGACCGAGTTAGATGCCCACTTTGAAAACCTCCTCGCTCGAGCAGACACCACCAAAAATTGGACCGAGAAGATTTTACGACAGACGGAAGTCCTGCTTCAGCCGAACCCCAGTAAGCAGAAATTAATTCCATCATTTCCTCCTACGAAATGGGGATTTTTGCTCACTGAAAGAAAGTGGGCCGTGCACCCTCACTGGAGGCTTTCAAGAAGAGACTGGACTCTCCTACTTGTGCAGGGAGTTGGACTAGAAGACCTCCAGGGTCCCGTCCAACACTGTTGATCAATCAGAATCCACAGAGATAAATAACCATTTTTCCTATTGTTCTGCTCCTTCTGCAGTTCTCAAAATTATTCACAGACACCCATTTTAGAATATTTTCAGTTTGGTGCTCTTCTGAAGGGCATGGAATGGCAGCACCCAGAATCCCCCTGCCTAAGTGTCTGGGGGATTCTGGGAGTCGCAGCCCAAACATCGCTGGACAGTTGCCCAAGGGCAATAAACAGTTTAAATTGGGCGTTTTAAGACCTGTGGGCACATGCATAGCATACGTCATCATGGTATATAATAAAAAATATAATTAACAAATAACGTCTACTGTCGAACATTTTATATATTGACTTATTTAACAGATTTATATAGCCTTCACCGATTGTTTTTTGGAAGAAAGGAAGCGAAAGTACACTTTAATTTTTTCGGGCGACTTAAGCAACAAAACGGGACCGTTCTCAGAGCGGCAACGGTGTCTTTCCTTCTCCAAGGAAGAGCTGCCCAGTGTGTAACACAACCATGTCTGTCCGCTTTGTTGCAGGTGCCCGAGTGGAGGAGTTCCTGTACGAGAAGCTGGACCGGAAGGTCCCGTCCCGGGTGACCAATGTGGAACTTCTGGCCCAGTACATGATGGAAGCGGCCAGCGACTTCGGTGCCACCTCTCCATATGGTGAGTCCTGGCCCGAGGAGGCCAGACCGATATTTTGGCAGAGGCAAAGCAGGCGGTGATCTATCCCTCCTCTGGTTGTCATGGTTCCCTTTCTCATGCACTCGGCCGTCTGCCGGAGATGTTCAGCTTTGCACTGTTTGAGCGAGGGGTTGGGCTGGATGAGCTCAAGAGGGCCAATAAAGGAGAAGGTTGCAGGCAGCTTTGACTCCCTGCCAAGAATCTGATTTAGTGTTAGGAAAGAACTTTCTATCAGCCAGAAAGCAAGGAAAGAAAACTGCTTTCCTGTGGCTGGATATGTCCACACTGACGCTGCTTTTCCATGGGATTCCTGCCTCGAGTGGGGGGTTCGAATCCGTGGCCTCGGGGGTTCTTTCGAATCCAGCAGTCCCACCTTTGGAAGGGGAAGAGTTGCATTACCGGGGTTCAAAAACAGAGGCTCGGCAGCTTCCTGCAGCTTAAGAGACTTCTCAAGTTGAAATTCAGTCCAGCTTGGATGGGAGACCACCAGGAAATGCCAACAGTGCCTTCTCTCGCTAGGCAAAACTCTCATCAAAGTTGGGGAAACCGAACGGCGCCTTGGAGGAGCTGAGCGGGACTTCATTCACGTGGCCTCCATCAATTTCCTGACTCCTCTGCGCAACTTCCTGGAGGGAGACTGGAGAACCATTTCGGTGCGTACAAACGGAGGGCAGGAAGGATGGGAGAAAAGGGCCCGTTTGGATGGAAGGGGCTCCTTCGGGGGCTTGGCAACCGGCATGCAATTAGGACAGTTGCAGAGTTTCAGGGTCACGTGACCTCCACTGGCCACCTTCCCAGCTGGCTTCCAACAAGCAGAGTCAATGGGGAAAGCTGGATTCCCTTAATGGCCACGTGACTGACTTAACAACTTCGGGGATTAGCTTAACAACCACAATTAAACAACCGTGTAAAATTAGACGTGACTCGCTTCGCAGTGGAAATTGCGGTCCCCACTGGGGTTCTGAGTTGACTTCCTTGCATGTCCTAATTCAAAACCGCAAAAGCACCAGTTTGGGGAATCAGAATACAGAGCAACAGAGTTGGGAGGGACCCTGGAGGTCATCTAGTCCAACCCGGGACTTTCTCCCGTTTTTCCAGAAAGAGCGACGGATCCTGCAAAACCGTCGGCTGGACCTGGACGCTTGCAAAGCTCGGCTGAAGAAAGCAAAGGCTGCGGAAGCGAAAGCCGCGGTAATTTTCTTCCTTCTCCCCCCCCTCCCCACCGGCCTGCCTGCCCCCCCCCGAGCGTATATCCGTCAGCATGCGGCACGCGAGATCCCGGCCTCCCATCTCTTTCTCGCCCACCAGATGGGCTGTGTTGTGCCTGTCTCTGATGAGGAAGGGGAAGGCTTAATATGTTTGCCATGCCTTCTGCCCCCACACAGCCCCACGCCCCCCCAAAAAGAAGAAATGGTTTCCCTGCTGCAACAGAGAGAGGGGGGAGAGAGAGCTGACCCCAAATCTCTTGAGTTTTTCGTTTGCAAAAACCCAGGGCTTTACTCACCCCAGCAGGAACTGCAAAATCCTGTGCAAAAAATAGCCAACTTTTTGCAGAGTTTCCACCCAGTTCCTCAATTCAGCTTTCTTTCTCAGAAGCTAACATCCTAGTCCTCATCAAACTCTTAGTCGTCCCAGGAGCTTAACCAGCATCCGATTAGGAGGGTGATTTAAATCAGCCGGAAGCGATTTAACAAACTTTGTTGGACGCCAGAGGTTTTGTTCCTGCCTGCCTTGCTTTGTTTCCCTTTTTGCTCTTCTGAATATTTTGTCCTCCCTGTGTCCTGCTCTCCACTAACCTCTGCTTTTGTTTTGTCCTTTTTGTTTTATTATTTTGTTTTCGTCTGTAATTTTGCTCAGTGTGAGGGAACTGTGAGTATTACTTGTGCTAGTAGTGCTGTGGCATTATTATTATTATCGTCGTCATCATTATCGTTATTTTTGGATGGACTGCTCCTTTTGGATTGGCCTTTTGGGTGCATGGAGAGAATGGGGTGTGGATGGGGAGGGTCTTCCCTGCAACGGGGGCATTCAGCCCCTTCCTCAAACACGGAGCTGGGTTTCAAAGGCAGGATTGCAGGAAACAGGACTGTGTGTACACCGTGCTGGCAAAACGCTAAAGTTTGGCTTTGTTCTTTTTGTTAAGTTTCTAGTCCTTAAGAGGTGCGAAGAAATGGTTGAAAATGGTTGAAAAGGAGGAAACGGCATCTCAATTTTCTGGGCTGATCTCTTTTTTTTGAGCTGCCTTCCATAAGAAGAGGTGGTAACTGTTGGCTTTTTTTTTCTTTTTTAAAGGAACCAGGTTACACACAGCCCTGTTTTTTTGGGGGGAAGGGGTGTGAGAATAGCGTGCATGGGGAGGCAAGCCAAGAGGGAGATGGAGACCTTTAGCTAAGAATGGTGGTTTAGGCCTTCGAAGGACTACCATGGACATCTAGCTGAATTTATTGTATTTATTTTGTTTTATATCCTGCCGTTATTGTTTTTATAAATAACTCAAGTTGGCAAACATACACAATACTCCTTTCTCCTCCTACGTTTCTCACAACAACAACCCTGTGGGATACACTGCCTTGGAAGATGGAGGTTTCATTTCCTAAGTGCTCCATTTCATGCAATGAGTTAGATCCTCAGTTTTATCTATTCCGCACCCCCAACCTCACCCACTTTATTTATTTACTCTAGTGCGCTTTTAAACTTTTGTTCAACTGTAAGCTGCCCAGAATGGCTGTATTAGTGAGATGGGCTGCATAAATGTCCAATAAATTAATAAATAAAGTCATTCTGAAGCCAGAGCCGTTACAGAAATCTCTTCAGAAAATGCTAAGACTCCACTGGCTAATTATGTCCATCTAGCAAGAAAATCAGTGCTCCTTTTACACCCTTAGGTGGCCCCCCCCTCCTCCTCCTCCTCCACCTCCACCATCATAGGCTGGCCTAGAGGGATTTCAAAAGCATGAAACCTGCATGGCTGGTGTGGAATTCGGCACTGCCTTTTATTTTATTTTGTTTTTTCCCCCTAAGTTTCTAGTCCTCATGTTTTCGGAATGCCCTATGTCTGTGTGAGCAAGCAAGGCTGAGAGCGGGAAGAGGAAAAGGCACCGGCTGGGTGATGTGAATTTCTGCGGTGTGGCTGCTCCTGCCTGCTTTCTCTGGCCCGCAATACCCGTAATTTCATTTTCTGCCCTCCAAAGAGGATCGGGCAGCTTCCGGGAGTTTAATCAGCCATTCTTGTTCTGCTGTTCGGAACAAAAGAGCATCTCAGTCTCAGCTCCTTTGAGACTGTGGGGGGGGGGGAGACTTCAGCTTCCAGAATGTCCCAGCCAGCATGCTAGCTGGGGGATTCTGGGAGTTGAAGTCCATCCGTCTTAAACCAGGCTGGCTGGAGAACGTGGGGACCTTCCTTGAAACGCGCCGAGCCCCGAGGACAGGCGGAAGAGAATTGGGAGGACCCTTGGATTTCAGGAGACCCTCCCAACCGTCCCCCTTGGGCCTGGGGGACCCAGAGGGGGCCCCTTCCTCACCAGTTCCCAGCCCCCCCTTTTCCCGACGCATGCTGTGTGTGAATTTGTATTCCCCCTCCATAGGCGGTGCCCGACTTTCAAGAGACTAGACCTCGTAATTACATTCTCTCCGCCAGTGCAGCCGCGGTAAGACCCGTCCCCATTCTCGCCCCCCCATCTCTCCTTGGACATCCCTTCTCCCCCGCCCCCCCCCTTCCTTGCCAATCTGGATCGAGCACCGGCTGCCTCCAGCATTTTAACGTGAGCCAAGCGATCCTCAAAGGACCAGGGGCGACATGATAGCAGTGTTCCAATATTTGGGGGGCTGCCACGAAGGAGGGAGGGTCCAGCCACTCTCCAAAGCACCTGCAAGAAGCAACGGAGGGGAACGAATCAAGGAGAGAAGCAAGCTAGAGGTTCTCCTGCATGAAACACCAACACCGGGGTGGTGAAGTTCCACAGTTGCTTTTTCAAAAGGCAAAATGGTTTTTCCTTGAAGACGTTTCGCTTCTCGTCCAAGAAGCTTCTTCAGTTCTGATTGTGGTTCAGTTCTGACTCCAGTACAGTTCAGTCAGAACTGGAGAAGCTTCTTGGATGAGGAGCGAAACGTCTTCAAGGAAAAACCAAGAAAGTCCAGTTTTTGAAAAAGCACTTTTGGAGCAAGCGTGACCTGGATGATGGAGAATATCCATAGACCTGTAGGTAGACCGTCTTTAGCCCAGAGGTGGACAGCTGGATGACCCCCTTACTTGACCCCATAACTCCTCCCTGTCTCCCTCCTGCCTCACCATCCCTTTCCTGCTTCCCCCCTCCCCCATTAATGGGAGACATTCAAAGAGAGGGAAAAAAACAATTGTCACTTTAGAGTAATTGGCTTTCACCCGACCACCACAGTGGGGTTCCTTCCCAAAGCAGTTAAGGGGTTTGCCAGCATTATCCACCCATTCAGACATTCGTCCGTTCATCTGGGTTTGCGGCTGTGCTGCCTCACGTTAAAATGTCGGAACTTCCCAAAAAAACCAACAACAACCCCTTCCCCATGTCCGTTTTCTGCCTTGCTGACGCTCCCACTGGGAAGGAACCAGGTTCAATCCAGATTCAGGGAGATTGGGGGGCGACGCAAAGGGGCCCCCGGCATCCCGGCATTTGCTTTGCAGAGGAATTGCTTTCTTTTCCACAGCCCTGCTGGGGTGGCATGCTGGCTGCTCCCCTAAATCATCACCCTGGGGAAGGGGGGGGGCTTTCTTTTCCACAGCGGTGTTTCTGCTCCAAATTGGCAACTTTGGGGAGGCAGTGCCGGCTTTGCTAATTTGGCCAAAAAAGGAGGAGGCAAAACGTTGGACGTGGGTGGAACTTTGGAGAGAAAAGGAAGACAGTCAGTGCTGCTTTCTTCCGATCCAGAAAAAAGACCGGGAGTGTAGAGCCTTTTGAAACCATGGTTTCTCTTGTTTGGCCCTGACATCCAGGCCAGGTCACTCCGCTAGGAGCCAGCCGGGTGCTGCAGCTGCCCAAAAAGCCAACACAGTCCTGGGCTGCATCAGTGGCTTCCCACGGTCACCTGACCGTGCTTGACCATGATTCTTTTCCAGCAAAAAAAAAAAACGCCCTTTGCGGACAATGGAATTGGTTAAGGGCCCCGGCATGGTGATTTATTTAGCGATCCCTGTAAAAAACAAAGTCATAAAATCAGTCACCGTCACACAGTGATCCCTCCTTATTGACCCGCCCAACTTAAAGCTTTGATTCCAAGCGGAGTCGACTTCTCCCATCATTTTCCAGAACCGTTGTCATAAGTGTCCTTGTGAATGGACAGGGCTGGCTGGAGAATTCTGGGAGCCGAAGTCCACAAGTCTTAAAGTTGCCACGTTTGGAGTTCCCTGGTTCACACCGTTGGTTTTCCGTGTCTCTCCATCCAAAATCTGCAATTGGGGCCTGGCCCACCCTGGGGGAACGTTTTTGCTGTGAGAAAGAAAGGCACCCACTTCTTTGGAAATGCTGCTTTGCTTCGGCCTGGTTGCGCGGTGCATGGCGTGTTGCCTTTTGCGGTGAGCTTTTGTGCCAGATCCCACCCAAGTGAGCAGATGGCCTTGCAGGACCCTAGATGGCCCATCGTGAAGAACGAAGAGTTTCTCATAGCTCATAGGACAGGACAGGAGGTCTGTCTAGGCCAGGGGTCTCCAGGCCTGGACAAATTAAGACTTGTGGACTTCAACTCCCAGGATTGCACGGCTGGCTTGGGAATTCTGGGAGTTGAAGTCCACAAGTTTTAAAGTGGCCGTGTTTGAGGACCCCCGGTCTATCTTCATCCCAATACCTGGGGAGGGGGAAATGGAATGGTCTCACCATCTGGGGACGGGGCTGCTGCCGTCTGCCACTCTGGCTGGGGGACGGGCTGGCTGCATTCCCACGGTCACCCCTATTGTGGCTACCCCCAAAGCGACTTTGTTGTGTCGAATGTTGGCAGTTTGGTGTCTTCTAATGTTGACCTGCTTTTCCGTTTGTCCTGTGGTTCCCCACAGCTTTGGAATGACGAGGTGGAAAAAGTAAGTACTACCAATATTCTGGTATTCCTCTCTTTTCTTTTTTTAAATCCAAAAATGTCAGCAGCCAAAAATAAAAATCCACGGCAGTTAAAAAATAAAACAAAACGGTGTTTGGTCAATAAAATGCAGAAAATGGGCTGAAAGGTCTGATCAGTGTAGCGTGGGTGGGGGGTGGATATATTTAGAATATTTGGAATAGTCACAGTAGCCACGGTGCCCTCATTCGAAGGATGCTTCATGGTTTGGTTTTTGCAGGCGGAGCACGAACTGCGACTGGCCCAGACGGAGTTTGACCGACAGGCCGAAGTCACCCGACTTCTCTTGGAAGGCATCAGCAGCACGCATGTGAGTTTTTGATTTGATGGTTACATTTATCTGCCCCCCGTCTCGCCCTAGGGACTGTCCTAGGAGGCCTCCAGTAATACACGTAGTCCTCAACTTAGTTCATTTGGTGACTGTCCAAAGTCACAACGGCCCTGGAAAAAGCGGCTTTCGATCTTTGTAGTGCCATCTTGTAAAAATATTGAGGACCTGATGCTTGGAATCGGCTGTTAAATTTCAGAGCCCTAACCTTCCTTGGACAATGAGCTGGCTTTCCTTTCCCCTCTCCAGGTCAACCACCTCCGATGTCTCCACGAGTTTGCAGAAGCTCAGACCACGTATTTTGCGCAGTGCTACCAATACATGCTGGACCTCCAGAAGCAGCTGAACAGGTAGCTAAATGGTTTGGGTGTTTTTGGTGCCGCTCAGGGTATATTAAAGGGAGGATATTTGGGGTGGTGGTGCCATGAGTGGGATGCTAAGGGCCAGAGGTTGCCCTCTTTAGAGGTTCCTGTCCCCTCCTGAGTCAGCACTTGAAAAATTTGGCTAAACTTAAAAAGTTTTGGAGGGTCTTCAGAACGGTTGGTGGTCCTCGACAGTTTTCAGACAGTGAGAAAACAATTAATGAGTGGAGCGGTTTTTCTCTGGAAATTGTGGGTGCTCCATCACAAGAGGCTCAACCCTATTATTCTGTGTCCTCTGTTCTGTTCATATTGAAGTTCAGAAATTTGGATGGATTTTTTTTTTATTTGTTGTCTTCTGTTCTGTCCCTCCCTGGCTTTCAGCTCCAGAGGAGAAATGTAAGTAAAACAATCTGATTTTTTTTTCCAGTGGTTTATTTTTAATGAAAACAATTTCAGGGTTATAACCTTCCTATGATTCCTGTGTTTGTCCACTTGTGAATGCTCCAACACTGGAGGTTTTCAAGAAGAGCCTGGACAGCCATCTGTCCAGAATGGGGCAGAGTCTCCTGCTTGAGAAGGGAGCTGGACTAGAAGACCTCCGAAATCCCTCCTAACTCTGTTATTCAGTCATTGCTAGCCTTAGTGGCACAGTTCACACAACTCAGTTGCTAAACCTGGCTAGTTTTAAGCTGGCGGTGTGAATCCCGTGGCTTGGCTTAGCAGAGGAGTCTGTGCATCCTCAGAAAACAGCCAAGTTTATGTACTGAGTAAACAAATTATCTCTTTGTCACACGAGTCCCCCACTCACACACGGTGGCTGCAACTGAGTTAAGCGAGTTGAACTACTGGAGCCGAAAGGTGGAAAGGCTGGCCAGCAACTTCCCTTCCTGTTCTTCTCTCCTCCAGGCTGCCGGGGACCTTCGTGGGCAATGCAGAGTCCACATCGCCCCCGCCCAACGCTGCTTCCCCAACAGGCATGGTCGCTGCCACAGGGCCCGCCGTGCCCACCCTCCCGGTGGTGCCCACGATCGCCAGGGCACCCAATTCAGCTCCAGGGGCTGAAGTGCTGAACCCCAGCGAGGTGAAGCCCCCCACCAGCGGGACCCGGAGAGCCCGGGTGCTGTATGACTACGAAGCAGCGGACAGCAGCGAGCTCTCCCTCCTCTCGGATGAGGTTGGCACCCCCGTCCTCTCGTGCCAGGCGTGGGTAGAACGCCTGGTGCCTGGGCAGCCCTGCTCGGCTATGGCTAGCTAACTTAACCCTCTGGATGTTTGGTTAGGGCAACCCCTGACCTCCTTCCGTCTCTTCTCTTTCAGATGATCACTGTGTACAGTCTCCCAGGGATGGACCCTGACTGGCTGATTGGAGAGAGGGGGAACAAAAAAGGCAAAGTCCCCGTCACCTACTTAGAGCTGCTGAGTTAAACACACCGCCTGGCAAGGACCACTCTTCAAGCAAAACCCTCGTCTCTCTTTTCTTTTCTTTTTTTGTAAAGGCTGAAACCGATTCATTCTGAGATCACTCGCGCTCACTATTTATTATTATTATTATTGTTGTTATTATTTTGGGTTCTTGGGATGTGTGGATTAAGGCCCCCAAAGGAGTGGAGGGTGAATCCCTTCCATTCTCCAGGGCTTCAGTGACTCCCTTCCATTCATCCTGGTTGGCTTTGAGAATTGTTGGGAGCTGCTGGGAAGACACCCCCGGCCCCTGTTGGGGATGGCAAAGTGGGGTCATAAGGACTAGCCACTTAGAGTTCCTTCCTTTCCTTCTCCTCCTCCCTCCTTTTCCGCTCCCTCCCCATCTTCCTATCTCTCCTTCCTTCCTTCCCTTTTCTCACCCTATTTCCCTCGTCCTGTCTTTTTCGGAGTCTTCAATCGCTTTTAGACATTCCAGGGGGGTGATGTGCAGAGAGAAAGGAGCTTTTTTCCTGGTTGCTGGCCAAGCCCCCCCCCCCCCGCCATCCAATTCCATTCCCAGACTTTGAGCCAGTTGGAGAAGAAAACTTTAGCTTTGGAGGCAGAGACGACCCTGCCTGGTCAGTCTTTTTGATAGACAGAAAGATCCTAAGAATTTAACGAAATCTGCAACTCGGCTGAAGTTTCCGTAACGGCTAAGCTTTGATTGCCTGCCTGTGCACCAATTCCACCTCTTGTACTGCCTTCTTGTGTGGAAACACACACACACACACGCAAACACATCTGCCTGAGATTGAGGAGCCCGGACTTGTCGTATCCCTTCATGCCCCACAGCTCAATCTTTAGGGTGTTTCTCCCGAAGTCGAAGCCATATGTAGAGCCAGTGTAAACCTAGCACAGAGCATGGAGCAGATTCAACCGCCACCCCGCGGCCCGGGGCTGTGTGGCTCAGCGCTTGGCTGGCCTCCCTCTGTGCGCTTTGAGGCTGATGTCGGGTCGCAGAGCCCTTCCTTCCGTCAGTGCATTTATTTTGAATGACTTCCAAATGTTTCTTTGCTTGCCGGTCTGTTGTCTCGTTCTCCCAGTGGGCTTCATTTTATCCCCTCCGAGTTTCTTCGTAAGAGAGCCGCGCGGGGTTTAGATAATTCTGCTCTTTCTGGAGATCCGTTCTGGGCTGGGAACAGAAATGCAGGATTTCTGAAGCTTCCCTGGACTGTGGGACATTGCCAAAACTATCGGGCAGAGATGTTTGGTAGAAGGAAGACTCTTGCTTGGTGTGATCTTTGGCAAAGGATGTGGTGGTTTTCACAAGCCCGTTGTTTTAAAAATACTTCCAGATAATAGTTCCACAGCAGGAGCCAAAATCATGAATCCTAGAAATGGATTGGACCTTAAGCTGTTTAGCAGCAGGGGGAGTCCACTCCCCGTGTAAAACATTTTGTCCTTCCTAAGTTATAGATGTTTTTCCTGTGTGCTCAGTTTAAAGCTTCTGCATGGTTTCCCCCCGTTTGAATGGGTTTTTTTTTTTTTTTGCGTTCTCCGGTGCTTGGCATGTATCCCTGGTCCGAGTCAGGAACACGTCTGCCCGCTGGGACCACGGATCCGGGAGACCTCGCCAGGAGGAAGCAGCAAGTAAGCGAGGCCCATTTTTCTGCGCGGGGGCCTCTGGGGGTGCCCCCCATCTTTCCTTGCAGCTGTTCGTATTCTGCAAAGGTTCTGCTTTTTTCTTTTAAGTTCCTTTAACTGCAGACTTTGAAGTGGGCCAAAAGCTCAAATGTAAAGGAAATGCCTGAAACTCTTGTTACTGCTATCTTTGATTAATAAAAAGTTAGAGCTGCTATTCGCTTCGGCTGACTTATTCCAAAAAAGCAGGATGTCTGTGACTTTTGAGCAAAAGGTTTTTTCCAGGCTAGGCAGAAATCAGGACTTGAGCCCCCCCCCCAAGGGGTTAGGGAAATGCAAATAGTCCTCAGCCTCGGATCACAACTAAATGAGACATTTCTTAAGTGAGCTTTGCTCCGTTTTACAAACTTGCTTGTCGTTTGTTAAGTGAATCACTGCTAGTAACACAGTTAAGTGAACCTGGCTGCCCCCACTGATTTTGCTTGTCAGAAGATCCCAAAAGGGGATCATGTGATCCCGGGATACTGCAACCGTCGTAAATACATGCCACTTGCCTGGATTTTGATCACATGATCTTGGGGATGCTGCAAAGGTTGCAACTGTGAAAAACTCGCTTCTGCTCAGCACCCAGTTGGCACTAGATGGTCCACCCACCCACCCCTGTGGTGACACGGCTGCTTTTCAAATACTTGGCAACTGCGAGCTTTTCAACAGCTTGCAACATCCCACATCACAACTGCAATCTGCAATGTTTGTGGCAGTTCTGCCAACGTTTGTGAGCATTTAGTTCTGACAAAAGCAATGGGTTCACTTAGCAGCTGGCATTTTGCTCAATAACCAGGCCCTGACTTGATCACCGCGGTGATTCGCTTAACAACCTCCCGCCAAGAAGATAGTAAAACCGGGTGAGTCACAGGATGACCTGCTTTACAACCAGAATGGGCAGATTAAGTCAGTAAAACGAGGACCCAGATTGCTGGGGGCAATAGGCTGACTTTGTAAACTGCCCAAAGACGGCTGTAAAGAGCTATGGGGCAAAGTCTAAGCGCCATTGCTGTGTTGCTGTCGTAATTTCAGGAGTTCCTGTATTTCCACCTCTACCCAAAGCAAAGCCTTGTTTATTCCGGACATTTAATCCGACAGTTGCAGAATTTTTTGTAGGTTTAGAGGTTGACTGTAAACCAGTGTAGAAGCTGAAGTATCGGAGGCCTCTCTTGAGTTCTTCCAACAGTTTTACACGCTGCTTTATTCCTTCCAAAAAAAAAAAAGGTCTCCTCCGAAAGCGGAAACCGAACGGGGCTGCTTTGTGAAAATGCAAGAGGTTGGAGTCCCAGCATTGCTTAGAAATGTGTTTAATCAATATAAATAGGAAACAAGTCGTACAAAAAGGGAGACTCAAGCAATGGAATTCTGATCCTGTCTGGAAAAAGGATCGAGGCCTTTATAAAAATATCTCCTCTGCCCTCGGAACGGCAGAGATGGGTCCCGCTGGCCCCACGGAAAGCAGGGGAGGGGGGGTCTCTGCCTTTAGCTGGCAAAGCTCCGCCACAAAACCGTCCTTGAATTATGAGATTAATGCCCAATATTTTTCCCAGAGGGGATATTCACGCTCTCGCCATCTGCTTTCCATCCTGGGCTGTACGTAAGCTAGAGAAATAAGGGACAGGCTTACCGAGGCCAAGCCAGATTTACTCGTGACACAATGGTTTGGGGGGCTTTCCCCACAGGCGGGGTCCTTTGCCGGCAGAGACCAGCCAATGCCGCCCTGGCGGTGGAGGCCCCAGAAGTCATGGAGACGAACAGGAGAGGGGGGGTTGTCTTGAGCCGGGGCGGGCAGCCTCTATCTTTGCACGTGTCTGACAAAGGTCTGCACCAGCTGGAAGAGGGGCTCCTGCCCTTCCGGCCCCAGCTTGGAGGAGGGGAGGAGGCCCCCGGCAGGCGAGGAAGGACCACCACGGCGGAAATAGCGAGACAGGCTGGAGAGCAGCGTGCTCTGAGAAGGGAACACAGCATTAGGTCATTCCTTCTGGAGGACGTGGTACGTTAGGGGTTAAGAGGCTGGTCTAGAAACCAGGAGGTGGTGAATTCTAGTTCTGCTTTCGCCACGAAAGCCGGCTGGGTGACTTTGAGGAGCCAGTGAGTTCTAGTCCTGCCTTAGGCACGAAAGCCGGCTGGCTGGCTTTGCGTGCAGCTCCATCTGCACAAGGGAAGGGCAGGTGCACCCTCCGCTCGTGCAAATGGCACTCGTGTGGACAGGGGCCAGGCTGCAGCCCGGGGGACGGGGACCCCTGCTCTAGACCGGCTACCCCCACGGAGCAAGGGTGGCCCATACCAGCTCTGAGCTGAGCTCCTGCTTCATGCGCTGTTTATCTCGCGAGTGCACCGCCGGATCCTTCAGATACCGAACCGCCTGAGAGATGAGCAAGTAGAAGCAGTTTTCCATCGTAAACATCAGGAGAGGCCTGGAACAGAGACGTGGTTTGTTGACCCGCTGAAAAGCACTAGCTCAGGGTGGGGAGCTCTGGCCCTGCTGGCTCAGGAATTCTGGGAGTTGGCCCACCAGTCATAAAGGGGCTACAGACTTCCCCACCTCCGCCCCAGCATGGGCTAGCATGGAGAGGACTGTGCTGAGGAACTGCATTTGCCGGAGAAAGCTCACAGCAAACACCTTTAAAAAACGGATTTCTTTTCCAGTTCCTTGTTTCAAAGGGGGTGAAACCCCCCCGGGACCTACTTGAGCGTCTTGTTCTCTTCCTGCTGGGGGGAGGGCCCTGCAGCCAGAGTGAAGGGGTCCTTCTTCTTATCCAGCTTTGGGGGGGGAAAGAAAAGCGGCATCAGAACTCAAGACGAAGAAGTCACGAGTCATTTCTTTCAGTGCCATTGTAACTTCAGTCACTTGAACGACCGCTCCAGCCTGAGCTTGCCTCTCCGCTCTGCACGAGCCCCGCTGAACTCTTACCTCCCCTAACATGTTCAGGGTCACGTTGACGGTGGCCAGCAGGGTCCCAAAAGAGGGCGGCACCTCCGAGTCAAAGGCAGGCGTCGTAAAGCTCAGCATGAAAAGGACGTTGTACTCCGCCAGGTCCAGGGACTGCAACGGAAAGCAGAGTCAAAATGCTCTCCAGGTCAGGGCTGCCCCAAAGGTGCTTTTTCAGGAGGCAACTGGACTCCCTCGTTTCTCCTTGAAGACCTTTCGCTTCTTGTCCAAGGAGCTGCTTCAGTTCTGACTGGATGGTGGAGAACGGCTGTCTGCAGGGAATATCAATCCTTCCGTTCCCCACCATCCAGTCAGAGCTGAGGAAGCTTCTTGGAAGAGAAGCGAAAGGTCTTCCAAGGAGAAACAAGGAAGCCCAGTTGAAAAAAGCACCTTTGGGGACACTCCTGAGAGTACAAACTCTTTGGTGCCTCGTGAAAAAGCGTCTCTCTCTCTCCTCCCGGGAGGCTTTTGGCTCCTCTACCTGGTCGAGAAGGATCTGGCAGAGGTCAGGGGTGAAGTGGCGTAAGGCCGCGAGACACTTGCTGAGGATTTTCAGCAGGCTGTACTGGACGGTGCTCAGCGCCCTCTGCTCCGCTGCCTCCGACTCGGGGCCGGCTGGCTTGGCCAACGTCTGCGGGGCTCTCTGGAGGCGAGGCAGGACGGACGAGGGGAGGGACTCGCCGTTCTTGGCCTGGAAAGAAATCCGAGTGAGGGGAGGCCCCAGGCCGAGGGTCCAGGCGGGCCAAATGGGGGCAGGCGCCCAGGGGGGCTCGGCCATTTACCTGCAAGTAATGCTGAAGCATTTTGCGACTGTGGAGCAGCGAAGTGCAGGCCTGGCACAAGTAGCACAAATTGACCTGGAACGGAGGAGAAAGCGGGGGAAATGCAGGGGGCCCTTGAATCACGGCCAGAATGGACCCCCATGTTTTTCTTGCTAAGCAAAGGAGTGGAAGTGAGCTGTGCCTCGTTTTACAATCTTCTTTGGTCAAGCAGACTGCTGCAGTTGTAACTAACTGTAATCCTTTCCAGTGAACGTGAAATGCTAGCAGTCCTTAAAGATCAAGATGGAATTAAAAACAAACAAACAAAAAAAAAACCACCCTCAGCTTTAGCCCTGGGCTCAAGAGGGTGTCTCGGCCACGGGCGCCAGGCCCGCCCCCTGCCAGGCAGGGAGGAAGGTTCTGCTGCGCACCTGGACGTCCCTGAGCAGCTGGGGCAGCTGGAAGTGCCACTCCTTCACGAAGTTGGACAGCTGGAGGAGGAAGCCCACCGTGTGGTCGGCTTCTTCGAGGCAGGCCAGGCTCTGCACCGTCCGGACGGCGTTCAAGCACTGCAGGGAGACAGCGCCCAACTCTGAAGCCCCTCCTGCTGCTTGGGGCTCCCCAGGGGGAAGAGGCCGAGGATGAAGATGGAGGGGGCCTCTGCTTCTTCGCCTCCCCCCGCAATTGCAGATCTAGTCCTCGACTTACAGCCATTTGCTTAGCAGCCGTTTGAAGTTACAATGGCAGTGGAAATGCTGGTGCTAATCGTGGCTGTAAGTTGAGGACTACCTGAAGTCACAGACCGAAGAGAAGCCCACCTGGAGGATCCTCTCCTGATGAACACCCACGAAGTCCAGGGCGTCGGTCAGAAAGTTGTACCGGAGGGTCTTCAGCAGGCGCTCCATCAGCGATATGGCCAGGCGATAGACCCCGGGCCACGACGGGCCGTCCAGAGACCGCCGAGAGGAAACGGGGGCCTGCACAGACAATCACGGTCAAACCCTTAAGCCAGAAACAAGCCAGCTTCTCCAGGGGTGTTTGTGGGGAGCCGCTCACCTGCCCCCCTCCGTTACTGCTCAGCTGGTAGACGCTCAGCAGAGGCAGGCAGATGCTGTGAAGGATGCCAGCTGTGGCCACCGCTGCTGCTCCCTAAAAGAACGGGGCAAAGCAGAGAAACTCACGGTCTGGGATGCCCCATGGGACAAATCTCACAACACACACAGAAGCTCTAGCTGAGCCCAGAAAGCGTCTTGTGGCTGAATGCAATGGCAGGGTTCACGCAGCCAGTTGAGTGAGCCCAGCCTAGCGACTTCTATTGGGTGCAAATCTAGGTCAGTTTAACTGTCAACTGGCCTGGGCTCCTCACCTGTTGAGTCTTGGCCAAGGTGAGCAGCAGGTGGAGCGAGGCTTCCGTGAAGTGCAAATTCTGCTTCAGCCTCAAGCTGACCTCCAAGGTGCTGCAGAGGGTGGGCAACAA